ACTCCCGTACCCTAATCTATACTAGGTTCAGACTGGTATTTGGGTAATTTACTATACGTACGGGAAGTACCAGTACAAGGATTTGGTAACCTAGGCATGGTTTTGTAACTTACTTGGCTGTCTCATACTACATACAACCGACGCAGCCGTCGTTAGGGATTATATTTATGCGATATAACCTGAAAGAGCCGCCATTAATTAGACGAATAAACGTTGTCTTCTTCATAACTGCGCCCAGATGAATACTATGCTAGAACACAATGATGTGCACATACTATATGTATGTTGCAAGGTTGAGACTACACTACTCCTCCAATAAGTTGTCTTTTGTCCAGCTGTAGGGTGAAAATATGGCGGCTCCAAACTAATCAACATCTTGTATGTCTTGACCTTCGGCCCTAGGCGAGGGTGTTCTAGCAGCTATGATGAGCGGGTGATTTCCGAGGAATGATTTAACAGCTGGAGCATAAGGTAGATTGATGTGCGCTCCACGTGTCGATTGGGTGGTTTGCACAGCTGCTCTAGATCCTGCTGCAACTTCTCGCAGAGGCTGCAGACAACTGTTCCCAGTGAGCGGCGCTTTATCTATTAATGCATTATACTCATCCATCCAATTATTAAGAGCACGAAAGGATGACATGGAATCCGGGTGGCTAGGCCCTAACACTTTGTTGCGTTGGTAAGAGCATTGCTTCATCAGAGTCAAGGCATCTTGCATTTTTCCCTGAGATTTCCAAGTATAGGCAAGGTTCGCCATGCTGGTCAGAGTGTCAGGATGCTCGGCTCCCAGCACTGTCTTGGATGTCTCCATTACTTGCACGTCTAGCTTCTCAGCTTCATTCCATCGACCCTGATTCCAAAATGTTGATGCCAGGTTTGCCATGCCGGTCAGAGTGTCAGGATGCTCGGCTCCCAGCACTGTCTTGGATGTCTCCATTACTTGCACCTCCAGCTTCTCAGCTTCATTCCATCGACCCTGATTCCGGTAGGTTGATGCCAGGTTTGCCATGCCGGTCAGAGTGGAGGGATGCTCAGCTCCCAGCACTGTCTTGGATGTCTCCATTACTTGCACCTCCAGCTTCTCAGCTTCCTTCCATCGACCCTGATTCCGGTAGGTTGATGCCAGGTTCGCCATGCTGGTCAGAGTGGAGGTATGCTTTGCGCCAGCTTTTCCTGGTTGATCGTCATCAGATTTTTATAAAGTACCTCTGCTTCTTGATATCTTCCATCACTGGCAAGGCAATTTGCAACCTTTCCGGTCAAATCTAGGTAATTGTTCTCTTGTACCACAAATTCATTTTTATGCACAAGTGCTAAAGCGTGAGGAAGATATTCCCGCCAGAGTCCTCGTTTGGTATGATGGTTATCTGGAAACACTCTTTGCATTTGTTCAGCCACCTGTTGGATCCAGTGGCTAAACAGTGCATTCTTTCTAAGCCAGTTTCGGGTCGCCATACGTACAAGTCGATGCATGCTTATATCCAAATCTCGGCCACTGATGAAAGAATATGCATTTAGAAGTCCCAGGGCGTCAGTTTTCTGCTTCCTGGACGTTGGTTGTGGAAGTAGGGATTGGGGAATATTTCGTGGATTTATACAAGCCATGAAAGATAAATAGTCTGCCGCTAACTGATCGTGATGCTGAATTTGTTTGAACGATATTAACCAGGTTGTGATCACAGGGTTCTGGATATCCTTATAGCGTCCTGGGTCCCTAAAGTCCTCGCTCAAAAGCTCAACAGCATCTTGTTCCTGTTCTTGGAGAAGTGTCACATATTCAAGCAGACTTAGGCGCTTTTTGTTGATGTAAGCTGATGCCTGGGCGATTGCTATTGGAAGAAATGCCAGCTGTTCTAACAGATTAGCTGTCATAGAATGGTCATCAAGTAAGCTTTTCTGTGACAATAGGCTCTCTAGGATATCACATGCAGCTTTTCTATCGACATCTGGCATATGAATCATATTAGAATATGTGAGGTCCACTGCAAGTTCGCCATTGCGGGTGGTAAACAGAATATGGCCGTGCTCGCTCTGAGGAAGGAAGTCCTCAAGGGCAGATGTGTTATTACCGGCTAACCACATCTCCGTATCGTCTGCATTATCAAAAATCAGAAGCCACTTCCCAGCAATCTCAGTGCTAAGGTATGTCTGAATCCGTTCTTTAACCTCCGCCGGATCCACATCAGGAGGTCCGAGTATCTGTGCAATGTGCAAGAATGCCTGCTCAATCATTGCATAGCTGGTACATGGGATCCAGAAGATCGAGCACTCTGTATCTCTGTCCCGTATGCGATATGCTAGCTCTAGGGCTACTTGGGTCTTCCCAACCCCTCCTAACCCGGTAATTGCAATCCTCCTCGGTCCATCGTTCAGTGTAATGAATTCTTCCAGTTTTGTGAGTTCATCCTCACGGCCGACAAATCTTGGATTTCTGTCGAGCGAGACCATCCACTGCTGCATCTTCTTGCATTTCATTAGGTCCATATCTGTACGGTTATTAGGAATAACAGATAACAGTAATTTTGCATAAGCCGCCGCAGCCAAAGCTGCATATCCTTGCCACTGTTTCTGCTTATGAGAGTTGCAATAATCACATATGCCGCGGATCACAAGCGTCGGAAGCTTATCCATCAGGCCGGCTGCCTCCATTTCAAAGCAGAGGATTCCATGCTGTTGTGCTAGACGATCTCGTGTTTCCGAATCCTTTACCACCTTATCTCCTGAAGTAATCAACCCATAATGGATATAAGGTGTCCTTGTCTCTCGTGGATGCCGTTTAATTAGTTGTTCTTTATCACAATCTTCACAGGTATCTTCCCCGGTGACGTGGTGATAGGAGGGATGAAATAGAAGGTCCATGTGCTGTTCTGGTGATGAAAATCTTTCGTTTATGTCAGGATTTCGTTCCAGTACATCCTCCACTATTTTTAAGATATCATTCTCACCCCCAGTCGTTTGTTTTGCCTCCATTTGACTCATATGTGTCAATAGAACTTGTGGTGGTTTATTCAAAGTTCCTGTTGGCTCGAATTGGCCACTTTGAATCGCCTTGCCATAATCATACTGTATCACACTACCGTACTTTCCAACCGGTTTGCTGACCACAATATCGCCTAATAGAATGTCATTATTTTTACTCGGGATCCCGCCTCCAATTCCCACCATCAGTCCATACTGAAGTCGAGGAAAGGTTGAACGCATGCGAGATATCACTGTCGCGGCAGAAACTGTGCCGTATACGCCAGCTGGTAGGCAGGCAATGACAATGTAGTGGCCGTTTAGTTCACCAAGTTGGTAGGCATTTGAATCGTTGAAGGGTTGAGGCAGGCCACTGTGCATTTTGTCCAGCATGACGCAGGCTGCTGCTACCTCCAGCGGCAAGGCACATATCCACGCGATCGTGTAGTCGTTGTGCGTCAGAGAAGTCATTGTGGGTCAAAACAGGTCAAGTATAAATATCCTGATGATGACATTTTCTCAAACGTGACACCCTTTCCATGATGGGCAGGAAAATGCAAAGTACTGTTCATCAGGCTGGGAAGGAAGGGTAACAGCTTCGCGCTACTGCAAGGCTGTCGACTTGAGGCACGAGCCACGGTACACCGTTGAGCCTCATCGATTAGCATCTCTCTATTTTTTACCGGTGGTACCAGATTCTAAGAAAATTAGTTCCGGCCCTCATGCACAAACGCTTCGGTTAATTGCCCCTATCTCAGAGATGTTTGACGAAACAATAACGTGACACCTGCCCAATTTACTGAGGCACCCTCTCATTGTTGGCAGTTTGTCTGGTTTGCAAGGAACATGCTAGAAAGTTCTGCGTATATACGATACAACAAGCGACACGTGGTTTTGTATAGTCACGTTCAATACGACTCGTAAATTACTGAATCAATGAACTAAACCCGATATGGATTAGATTGCGGAAGTGGCGCTGACAAAGAGCCGAAGAGTTGCAACCCATGTAAAGTGTTACGAAGTTAAACTGCATGACGCTAAACTGTACTATGACCAAAGAGGAAAGGTCACTTTGGTGTTTGGAGTGTATGAACCATACGATTACAGACAAGATGGAAGTATGTCACAAAGCGGATACTTTGGTATGGGACACGCACCAAGTCACGTGAAGATATGAATAATATACCGTTATCTTGGATAAGATAAGGGTATATGAAACAACGATATATCATTGGATTATATCGTATACCTTATACTTGCTACCTTTCAAAGGTATACGATATAGGATATACGAAACATGGAGGACTGGATATATAAGGACGCTCTTTTACCATCATGTATTTAGTTCTTCATAGTTCTTTGACATAAGTCACTTGAATACAACAGTGAGAGTCAGCAAGGCATTCTAACTCGTACGGGCACCAGGATGTACGGGGGATCTCTTCTATCTTAGTTTGTTACTATTCCCAGTCACCGTCTCATTACCGTTCGATACTTCGTTACATACGATCCATCACGCTACACTATCTCATTGGTCGGAACCTGTGCGAGGTTCAATTATCCTGACGTATCACGACGCACCGCTGTTAGAACTAAGGTGGATCCAGGTCCGTGACATAAAGCCGCGCTTGCAAGGCGCTGTACGGTATAAAATGAGCGTCCATATATACTCGATCCCCGTCATAGTCGTCAGAGTCCTGGCTACGATGAGTCCCTTATATCCATCATAGTCTTTGCTATGTTGTCTATGATACCCTAACCCTAGTGGTTCTTAAATAGTCCTAGCTCCCGTTGGATCATTCTTTGTTCCTAGATGCATTAGTACTGCATCATCTGTTGATTCATTGGCTGTGCTTTCTTGATTCATCTTACAGTAAGATGGTAAAATATGGAGTGGCTATGATCTCAGTACACTTATGCAAACGCCACAAGTTGTATTTTTGAATACAAGAAATTACATATTCAAGAAATGATACAGATAATGAATAATACCTGACAGTATTGCAGTTGAAAACTAAGGACCACTATAACCAAACCCCTACATATAAACATGGCGATTTCTGGTTAAACACATTGTCCACCAGAGCACCCCACTATAAACCATGTAAAGCCCGACTTACAAAACGCTATAGTTTATCCACTTCTTTCCGCGAATGAGACACAATTCTAGTTCAAATGCCATATTCGGTGACAAGCCACCCCAAGTAGGGGTACAACATGAGATCTCCTGTCAACGACTCCTGTATGCATAAGAAGGAGGTCTTCTGTAATGAGAGTGGTTTTCTTCTCTCAAGCTTCAGTCTCTGTATGTTAGCAACAGTACCTTTTGTTAATGAAGATTGAACACCCCGAACGACCTTCTGCCATATTGATAATTCCTCCTACCTAACCATCGGATTAACCTCCTATTACAGAATAGCTAATGGGATTCTTACAAATTGAACTTATGTTAAAACTAGTTATGCAACTATAAACAACTCTTCAAACACTGTTCGAGATCCACTTAGTAAAACGCTGTCCGAGACCCACTTAATAAACACTGTTCGAGACTGGTCCAGGCTTACTTATTATTATTGTAAGGGTTGATTCCATCGCGAGATCCAAGGAGCCAATCTGAATGCGAGAAAGATTGATGCCAGCGATCTAAGACAGGAATACGGACGAATGCCTAGGCCCTAGCACCTGTTTCCGGGTCTCCATCACCTGTACCTGCAGCTCTTCTGCTTCCTTCCATCATCCTTGATTCTTGTATGTTAACGAAAGGTCGTTCATACTGACCAGAGTTGAGGGATGCTCAGGCCCTAGCACCTGTTTCTGGGTCGTCATGACCTGTGCCAACAACTTTTCCACTTCATTATTCCTACCGTCTCCGTACAAGCATCTCCCTACTTTCTGGATGTAGTTAATATACTGCTCGCAAAACTTGCATTCACTCAACAAGGATAGAGCGCGGGGTAAATATTCCCTCAAAGCCGTCGATTGATACTGTAGCTCCTCTGTTATCAGATCCGCATGCATGCCGGAAATGGCCTCTAGCGCTCTGTTCTCGCGCACCAACGGTATCTACACACCATTCCAGAAAACTCTCTTGGTGTGGATCCTTCACATAGACTTGCCAGTTGCGCCTGACGAAAGCCTTAAATTCAGCAAAAAAACTCTTCAATGGGGTTCAAATCCGGGGAGTATGGTGGCAAATACTATAGACAAGTTTACACTCGGAGGCAAAACCGGTGTCGGGATTCTACTCTCTTCGATTGTTCTCAACCGCTACGCCAAGCGGAGCTAAACTAGATTGAGAGAAACGCCAAGACAGCTCCCGTTCATTGTATTATGTATGGTATTGTATCGGACATGTATACATGTAATTAATTTTTACCATAACCTGTTCTTGTTATGTGTGATATAAATAATTAAAAATAGTCTCATATATGGTTTCTAAAGTATACTTTGTTATTATCTTCTTCATACGAAAGATCTAACTAATCACGGTATAGCGCATCGTAGCACTGATATCTAAGGGAGAATCCAAGAGAAAAATCACTCTGTTTAGTAACAAAGTGTAATGAGACAGTCTTCGTTACTTTTGATTGTCTTTGCTATTAGAATTCCAGGTGATCGGACCCGAGCTATAGCCGATCTGCATGCCACTATTGTGGCTACCTGAAAATGTTGCGCTATATGTGTTACCGCCGCGTTGACCTAACAATGTATCGCGTAATTTTGATGCAACAACTTCGGAGGCGGTTCGGTTAACCTCTAGAAGGCGTGACTGCTCTTCAACTTCCTTCATTGCCAGAGTTCGTTGAGCACCACCATCTTCCTCATCCTCTGGTTCTTTCTGAAGTTCTTCCTTGCGTTCTAAGGCTTCAGTTTGCAGCTCCTTCGTGAGGGTGATATGCTCCTTGATCGCTTTCTCTAGGTTTTGAAATCCTGTCTTCAGCTCCTCACGATTAGTCTTTGAGGTGTATTCCGACCGAAACTGAACGAGACTTCTAGAGCATCAGTAGCTATTCGAAAGCGTGCCACGGAAGGGCGCTTACAGTTGGGTACTTCCAATGGCAAACTGAACAATGGCCTGGCACGATTGAACTTGTGTTCTGAATGTATGTATCTTCTCTTTATTCCATACGCCAACGGAAAGACGATCTCGAAGTGAAAGTTTGGTGTTGCTAGAGTGTTTTGTCCATTGCTGAAGTTGATTTGTAAAGTCAGCACACGCCTGACCGCATTTATTCACGGCCTCCACAACTCCAGTCTTTTCGAGATCTGATTTGGCTTCGGCATATGTCGCGCTGTCAGAAATTTTGAGTTGTTCCAGAGCAGTGAGCGGGCGCTGGATGGCCTCCAAGGATGAGGCGATATCTTGGACCACTTCTTTGGCATCTGCTAGGCTACCAATCAAACCACGAAGATGATCGATGCTGGATAGAGCAAACCCTGTAATGCCAAGGGCGCCGACAGTAATGCTGAAGGGATCCATGTCTTCTGGGATTGTAAGGTAAAATAAATAAAGTCTCATAAATCAGGGGAATAGCGAATCAAGAATATAACGGAGATCCGGTGGATTCTAAGATTTTAGGATAGAGAGGCGGGGCAAGCTTTCTTCATGCCGCACGTGTTTGGCGTTTCCCACGATAGGGCGAGGCATTCGACAATTCTCAGTCCCACTCTTTGATAGTTTCGGAATATCTTTAGTCTAGCCAAGTCGGTATCTGAAAGTTGATGTTGGGCGCTTCCCTGATCAAGAGCAGCCAATGGCGGCCCGAGACAGACCATGCACCCCACCTTCTCGGCATGTGACATTGGCGGAACTATAATTAGAACACGCCGAAACGTCCAGCACAAAAGGGACATCCACCCAGCCAAAGACAAGATTCTGATAGCTTCCAAATCATGATCCGTCGTCATGGCTCCTGCTGAATATACTATGGTTGGGGCCGGTAATTTTGTTAGCACGACTTTTTTACAGGGGTTGAAATCCAATGAATTCTGCCAGTCATATCTGATTACTAATCTAATATTTTGTATGACCACCTCGAGCATCTATTACAGCTTGGCATCTAGCGTGCATAGAGTCAATGAGCTCCTTCAAAAACTGCTCAGGCAGTGCATCCCAAGCAGCTCGTACAATCTCACGGAGTCGATCATAAGAAAGTTGCTCATCATCTGGATATTGTTCTTGAATCCAATCCTTCATCCAATTCCATACTGCTTCAATTGGATTGAGATCAGGTGAGAATGCTGGCCAATAAATTGGATATATCCCACGAGAATGAAGCTCTTCGAGAGTCTCCTTACTCGCATGGCCAGGTGCCCCATCCTGCATAAATTGAAGCCAGATATCGTCTCGTAATAAGCGAATATAGCCATCAATAATTGGTATAACCCGTTGACAATATCTCTCTGAGTTAATAGTTCCCCATTCCTTCTCCCAGAATAAACACGGACCCTTGTTATTCCCATGAAAAGTAGCCCAGAACATCCATCCACGTTTCCGTGCAGGAGAGGATCGTATGCAAGTCTCTTCTAACTCTTCACCAGCCTTTCTAGTTACCCAGATTCTCGTATGAAATCCTGAAGTAACCCATGTTTCATCAGACCAAAGGATACGATTCCATTGTTCAGTCGTCCAATTCAAATGCTCTAGGGCCCAGGCAAGACGTACTTGTTTATGTTTATCTGATAGAGGAGGTTTATTAAGAGCCTTGCATCGTGTATAACCTCGTTTTTTAAGGGCTCGAGCCAGGGCGTGCTTTCCAATAGATAGGTTAAGCTCTTGTATAACCTTATAATAAGGCATACGTCGCGTACGCTTCGAAGAAGTAATCCATTCGATAATATGATCAACTTCAGCCTCGGAGAGCTTCGGAGGGTTGCCACGGGCCTTTTTAGGGGTTGCTTGCTGGCTTTGGCACGTATATTGGACTTGGCGATAGCTAATTTGAAGCTGCTGAGAGATTTGAAGATATGTAAATCCAGCATCTCGAAGGGTTAATACTCGGATCCGTTCATCCCTATTCAGCCGTGCTGAATTCTGCCTGGAATCAGATGGCTCGAGAGCTGCTGCGCTTGTTGCCCTAGGGGGGCTGGTAGGCTCGGGGGTGGCCATATTGATCGTCAAATGTCATATATCTAGGCTTGAAAGGCTGAAAGCAGACGGATGGTCAATATTCTATTTAAAAGGCGGTGAGCCCCGGAGCCTGACCGCCTAAAAATCGTACTAACAAAATTACCGGCCCCAACCGTAGTAATGCCACCTTCTCAGGCTCACACAACCATGGACTACAAGCGGGCTATATCGCTGGAAATGTCAACTACTATTCCGCGGGCAAGTCACTTGTTTCCCCACCATCGAGTCGTGCTGACAGCATCCCGTAGAGCGTCCCGAGACTCCACCCCGTCCATTCCTATCCATCCCGTTCCTTCGCGATCCAGATTTTGTCGACCGTGGGACGATCCTGGATCAGCTCCACAGCCGATGTGCTGCACCAGGGTCCCGGACCGCGCTGGTGGGTTTGGGTGGTGTCGGGTGTGTAAATGTGCATGCGCTTTACTGGTAGCCACACTGCTAACTCCACATGCAGGAAGTCACAGCTTGCGATTCAATATGCATATGAAGCCCACGAGCGATCGTCTGAAACATGGATTTTCTGGATTCATGCCAGTAACGCCGCCCGGTTTGAACAGAGCTATCGGGAGATTGCAGACACGGCCAAGCTGTTTGGGCGACGGGATCCCAAGGCCAACATCTTCAAACTTGTGCACGACTGGCTGCGAGATAGCAAGAATGGAAAGTGGATTCTCGTACTAGACAATGTTGATGATGCTCATTTCCTCCTCGACCGCCCTGATAGTACTCAGGCTCAGGCCAGTCATGAAAACGGCGGAGCGGATCGCCCGCTGCGAGAGTATCTTCCACAAAGCCCGAATGGGTCTATTCTGATAACATCACGAAGCAGGGAGGCAACATTAAAGCTGGTGGACCAGCGCGATGTCATTGTAGTCGAGCCAATGGACGAGGCGCACGCACGAGTACTATTTGACAAGAAGCTGGGAAAGCAGGATGAGAAGCAGGATAAGGACCAGGATATTCCTGAACTTGCAGCAGCGTTGGAGTTTATCCCGCTTGCTATGGTCCAAGCCGCAGCATATATTTCTGACCCAGATCGCGGTTGTTCGGTACGACAGTACCTCAATGAATTTCAGAAAAACGATCGCAAGAAGATCCGTTTATTGGACCACAAAGACGGCCAGTTTCGTCGAGACTGGGAAGCCAAGAATTCGGTCCTCATGACATGGCAGATCTCATTTGACAGCATACGCCAAAACCGACAATCAGCAGCCGACTTACTATCGCTCATGAGTTTCTTCGACCGTCAAGGGATTCCCAAGTCCCTTCTTCGAGATCATGGTAGACAGAGGAATACAGAGCTAAATGAGAGCGATGATGCAGACGATAGTCAATCTGAATCTAGCATAGTGGATGAGTTCCAAGATGATATCCTCATACTGCGAAGATACTCCTTGATCTCAATCAATGTGGACCGAACGACCTTCAACATGCACAGCCTAGTGCAGCTAGCAACACGGAGATGGCTAGAAGTGAATGGCGAGCTGGAGAAATGGAAGGGACAGTATGTCCAGAACCTAAATGCGCAATTTCCCATGGGAGAGTATGAGAATTGGGCACAGTGTCAGGTTCTTTTCCCGCATGTAAAGTCAGCGGCCCTCCAGCGGCCACAGAAACGAGACTCATTACTAGAGTGGGCTACAGTGTTGTATAAGGCCGCGTGGTATGACTGGCTAAAAGGCAATGGGGCTAAGGGTGAGCAGCTGTCAGTTAAGTCGATGAAAGCTCGGAAGAAACTCCTAGGTCTAGAACATGAAGAAACGCTGGCTAGTATGCAAATGGTGGGATCAATATACTTGATTAAGGGTCGATGGAATGAGGCGGAAGAGCTGTTTGTGCAGGTGATGGAGATGAGGGAGAGGGTGCTAGGTGCAGAGCATCCTGATACGTTGTCCAGCATGAACAACCTGGCGTTAACATACAGGGATCAAGGACGGTGGAAAGAGGCGGAAAAGCTGAACGTGCAGGTGATGGAGATAAGAGAGTGCTAGGTGCAGAGCATCCTGACACACTGACCAGCATGGCCAACCTAGCGTCGACGTACAGGAATCAAGGTCGATGGAAAGAGGCGGAAGAGCTGTTAGTGCAGGTGATGGAGACGATGACGAGGGTGCTGGGTGTGGAGCATCCCTACACGCTGTCCAGCATGGCCAACCTCGCCTCCACTTTGAAAGAGCAAGGCCGCCGCGCGGAAGCCATTGACTTACTGCGGAATTGTGAACGGCTACGGATGAAGATTCTAGGCGTTGGCCATCCTGATACTCTATCAATCGCTGCGGCATTGATCAGTTGGCAGACTGAGAAATTGGAGATAGATGTGTCAGCAGCCAATGGTACTCACGGATCGTGCACGCTTCGAGCTGTTTGAGCCTGTATCTCTCTAGAACCGACTAATGAAAGCCTAAGCCTGAGCCAAACAATTTGAATAAATTTCCAATACAACTCTATGCGTGGTGCTAATTGTAAACTACCTGTCTCATCTGTGTTAGAGAGAAAACAGGCATGGCAAAACTTGATCATGTATATGTCCGGTACAATACCATACGTGATACGGCGAAGTGGGGTTGTATTGAAGTTTCTCTAAAAGTAGTTTAGTCCCGCTTGGCGTAGGGTTCGAGAAACATTCAAAGAGAGTAGGATCCCGACACCGGTTTTGCATCCGAGTGTACAGTGTATTTCTGTGTTCCTTTTTGTCTCTGTGCCTCGTGCCCAATCTAACATGTTCCAAAGCCGACCTTTTTATAGACATTTTTGGCAGGATAAATTGTGGGTGATAACGGGGAGTAAATTCGGGGGCTATAAGATATGTACTGCTTTCGGACATTCGAATTATCTGACAGCTATCATGAGGGGTAAAAATTGAGGTCTATATTGAGCCCTGATAAGAAGATGGCCTGTTATTTGCTGAAATCTAGTTAACCTCGAGATCGTATACCCTTTCTTCTGCCTCGCCGGATGTCCGGATTATCCGACATCAGCTTACACTAGGGCTTCTCGGGCTTCATGGGCTTCATGCACGAAACAAGAACCTTTGGGTATAAACACCGAATTCATACGGAGGATTTTGGTATTGATGACTCAGGTATACTCGCTGGCCATTATTCCAGTCACACTGCCGCCTTTGCGGCAGACTCAGCAAACGAACACCCAGGTGCTACCCCCCATACCATCCCCAATGCCTCCATCGACATCAGCAATTTCTCACCATCACGATCGCCCAAATCCTCCCCAAACACTCGGCCAAACGGGAATCTTGCGTCCAGTATACCCCATTAGTTACAGGCAAAAATCGGTTAGGCAATTCTCGAGTCTCTCATCAGCAAGTTCAGCAGCAAACGGCAATTCGGATACTGAGTCAAATATTCAACACAACTCACGCTCTAAGGATTCTACAAGTTCAGTGCAATCTTCGAACGGATCATCCTTGACCAACTTGACGGAAGACGATGAAGTAGTACCACCTAATCCGAAACGTCCGTGTCATCGGCGACAAATCCCTAGTAACGAATTATTCTGTGACCAAAATGAAGGGACAACTCGTGATGCAAACAGAGATGACAACCGCATTGGTCCTACGCCAGACTCCGCGGCATGCGACGGAGATGGGGTTCCGATGAGCCAAAACAGCCCATTGACGGAACACCCTTACGAGGAGATACATATCACTGCGCAGACTGCGCAGCAAGTAAATTCTGAAAAATCTCCAACTCCGCAGGTTGATTCCCGCGAACTCCTGAACGACCTCAGTGTTGGTAGTTTATATCAAGTTCACCAAGTGAACTCCAGTGACCTCTTGGATGATATCAGCGCCCGTAATACATATTCAGCTCCACGGGTTGATTCCCGCGAACTCCTGGACGACCTTGATGTTGGTTTATATCAAGTTCAGCAAGCGAGCTCCAGTGATATCAGCGCCCGTAATACATATTCAGCTCCACGGGTTGATTCCCGCGAACTCCTGGACGACCTTGATGTTGGTTTATATCAAGTTCAGCAAGCGAGCTCCAGTGATATCAGCGCCCGTAATACATATTCAGCTCCACAGGTTGATTCCCGCGAACTCTTGGACGACCTTAGTGTTGGTTTATATCAAGTTCAGCAGGTGGACTCCGATGAACTCTTGGGTGATATTAGACGCGCAAGAGCAATTGATATTGATATTGATGATATACTACGTGAAGCAGATAACTTCACCAAATCTTGTGAGAAAAGTTCATATCCATTCACTATACCTGCGACACATGTTTCGTGATAATAAGAAACCCGTCCACAGATGATTGGCTAGCGCTTGGTGCTGATACTTCAGGATCATCGTTCATGTAAATGATTGATCCCTTTTCAACTGTATATTTTTCGCCTTCCCGCGGAGTGAATACGAATGTTTCCATTGGGGCGACGAGTGTATCCTTTTCCATTCGACTTGCACAAGCAAATTTCATCGGAGCGACGGTAAACACCTATGATAAGATGGTATTTAGTACATCTCCTTCATATCTAGTATCTCAGGTACATACATTATATTTCTTTCGCAACTCAGTTCGCAACTCGGTCTCCATCTCTTTTATGAGTTTATCCACTTCACCACCGCCATATCGTTGGCCCCAATTAAACGCTGTCCCAACAAGCTGAGCATCATTTTTATCGATTTTATCTTTGATTGAGTTAAGAAGACGAATCGCGTTTGCAGAAAGCGGCTCCCCCATGTTGTGTCTGATATTATGGTGGCAATCAGTTTCGTTAAGTCTGCGGCAGTTTGCATGCTCAGTATATAATTCACAAGCAAGTAAAAGCGTTAAGACTTACACAGTATGAGAATACTAAAATGTCAGAATATGGAATAGTGCAGAGCGGACATGTACTGAATTCTGTTTTTATCTTTTTCTTAGGATAGAAATCTCATCGGGTGCAACAAGGGTAATCTGAGGGGGGAGAAACTGTTGGATTATTACTAATCCGTGGGGGCAGATTCGGCAATGATTCCTAGCTTTGCTACGTGGAAAGTGTTCGTATTGGAAGTAGAATTAACAAGCAAAATTGTATGTATTCCCCCCTCCCTCTTTCTAAGAATTGAGGGTGATTCTATGTCTACATATATTCCAATGCGGCCTCAGAGAAGTAAGGGAAATAACAACAGGAATTTCAGCTAAGGCAAAGCGAAGAATCCGAGTCACAAACATGAAACTATACAGGTTTGACCACTGTAGTTGATTGGTATCAAGGGGCATTTTGGCGATGTGCACTTTCTTAATTAGGGTCAGAGGTATCGTCCTGTCGACACCTAGTTATCTAACACTAGGTTCCTAGGAGCGGAGATATCTAGCTACCAGCGCGCTAACTACATCCGGTAGGCGGTGCTGACTATCTAAGGGCAGAATCCCAACACACCCCCCCCAGCAAACCGCCCATGAAAGAACTATCGTACATGAAGCCATATAAAAGCATATAAATAGGGCACTGAGTGTGGAAACATGGTGTTGAGAACTGAGTTGTAAAAACCTACACAAAAAAAAAAAAAAAATTTTTTTTTATTCCTCGTCGACTTTGATGTCGATTGGCTCCAGTCCCAGCTGCTTTAGAAATTCTGTAAACTTGACTGGATTTTTGGGTTTTGTAAAACCGTCTGCGACATTGTCGTCAGTGTCAACGCGTTCGACAACTACTTCACCTTTTTCGAGGATATCCCTTACAAAGTGGTAACGATTGGCTAGCCATCTCACGGCTGGTGTGGAGCGCTTTTTAAGTGCGTCCATAGCGTTGTTGGAATCCGTGTAGAGGGTAATTGTTGGTTTACCTTCTTTAGATCGCAAGATCTAAGAAGGACAGCTAATCCAACAAGCTGACTGAGCCAGTAATACTGAATTCCTAATATTGCGACTAATCCTAAGAACTAGGGGGATGCGGGTGGTGAGATGTAGTTATCCTCCGTACGCTATAGCGCACGGAAAAACTATATCCCATTCCCGCGCCGAGATAGGTAAGATTGCTATACCGACAGTAATTTTATCGTCTTCTTTCATTAAGCTAAATACTATGAGGATCCTTTTTGCATAAAGGGCGTGTTTCATGCCATCGCTGAAGCATATGTATTCTGCAGCTGTAGAAGATGGTGCAACACAAGTTTGTTTTGCCGTATCCCAAGCGATAGGGCACCCAGCCCAAAAAAGGCACCATCCTTGAGAGGATTTGCTATCTGGGTGATCAGTGAATGAAGAATCAGTAAAAAGTTGCAAACCTCGCTTCGGATCTTTATTGAGAGTTAGGCCTAGATTGCTGTGGGCGCGTAGATAGCGTAAAACGCCTTTTGTATGCTCCATGTCATCTTTAATTGGCTCTTTTTGCTTCCATTGTAAGAAGCGCACTGCAAAGCAGATATCGGGTCTTGTTTTGAATTCCAGCCAATTAAGGGATCCGACTATTTTCTGGTAAATCTCGAGAAATCCGGGGTCAGGTGACTCACCGGTAAACGTCAATTTGGAGCCTGGTTCAATAGGTGCCTTATGGCCGCTGCAGTGGTCTATATCGAAGCGGTTGAGTATCTCCTTGACATACGGTTCCTGAAACATCGAGATAACCTGGCTAGTAGGATTGTAGTGTAGATTGCATCCCAAAAACTTCTTCGGATGACCAATTCGCTTTACTCCATATTCCGCATCTAGTTTATTGAGAAGCTAGTGAATTGCATCGATGTCCTTTGCAGCAACAAGGGTGTCGTCAACATATAAAAGGATGTAGATTCCTCTGCTCTTGTTAAAATAGATGCATGGATCTTCAGCCAATGGGAGGAAGCCTAGGTCATGTAATTTGCTGTCAATAGTACCATGCCAAAGGTTAGCTGATTCGCGTAAATCATACATGGCTTTGTTGAGTAGGCATACCAAATCACGTCCTTCTTTATGACCTGTAGGTTGCCTAACAAGTATCCTTTGGCGACCAAGTAACGCGTGTAGGTATGCTCCGATGATGTCGGCTTGGTAGAGGAATAGCTGGTGGTGCGTATTAAAGGAGAGGAATATTTTTGTACTCATATCTCCTACCACTGGAGACCATGTCGCTTGACTAGACTTTTCTTGGAAATTTCCACAAACCACCCATCGTGCGCGATACTCTGTGACTACACCATCTGGTGTGGATTTTATGTCATAAATCTATTTACCTGGTAGTATCCGTGTACCATCTTTTGACATCTCAACTAGATTCTAGGTCTCATTGTCCTTAAGCTTCTTTACCTGCTCTGTTTCAGTGGCAAACCAGAGATTAGCCTTGGTGGCCTTAAGTGCTTGCGTGTGATTGGTGGGTATCTGGATTTCTCACTTGCGCTTTGTTAGGCCTGTGGCTGCAATGGCTATCAACGCGTTAGGGTTTGTAGACTCATTGGGATCATCATTGACCTCAGTTTCTATGGCGAACTTGACCTTTTTCTGTGCACGGCGGAGTCGTTCTTGCTCGGCTTGAGTTGTCTGTTCCTCTTTAAATGATGCTATAGAGCGCTGACCTTTGGTTGAGCAGCTAGAACGCCTTAGCTCTAGTCTCTGCGGCTCAGCTGGCTGCGTGGCTGCAGTCTCCTGTAGGAGCTGCATTTGATCTGGTGAGAGGTCTTTGTTGTTGTTTTCTGGTGGTGAATCGTGGATTTGTATATCCTGAATATCACTTGTGGGTTTGTGGTCAGACTCCACTGACTCAATTGGTGTATCTGAGGCTAGGTTCTCTGGAGATGGGGATAACGTCACTAGGTGGCATTGTGCGTACTGATTTTCATGATAATTGAATGTAGTCTCTTGATCCTGGCCTAGGATAGTGAATATATCCTCATGAGATGGTTCACCTGTCAATAATAGGCGTTCGGAGCGATTGCTTGACGTATTCGCATCAAAAACTTTTATTGATATGGGTTTGCCCCAACCTGCCTTAGGCATAGATTGCACGTCGTTGACAATATCTAGGGTGCCATCCTCATCGCCTTCCTAGAAGGTGACGTCGCGTGTGACTACTGTCTTGCCTGTATCCGGATACCAGATTCTATACACGTGGCCGTGATCTCCAACGTAGCCAACTAATCGACCAATCAGGGCCTTAGGCTTCACCTTTTCAGCTTTAACGCGATTCTCAATGGGAATATATACGTAAGCTTTGCATCCCCATACACGGAGATGTTCGAGGTATAGTGTTGGGTTTAGGAGTAAAAGGCCTCTTCGCCAAATTTGTATCAGCGCTTCTTTTCTATCTACCAAAGGTAGCCTTGAGTGAATGTAGATGGTGGTGTCGATCGCAAAGGGCCATAGATTAGGCGGTAATCCTGTATCGATGATCATGACTTGGCTGATTTGCACAATAAAGAACTGTAGGCGTTCGATTGCCCTATTTGGCTCCTTTGTACGCGGTAGAGAGTGCCTCAACAAGATTCCCAAGTTCTTGGCCCAGTTGTTGAAGACATTGAACTCTCTCCCAAGATCTTTAGCAATAAGAACTGGCCAACAGCCTGCTGAGTTGTGGAATTCCTTACAGTAATCAATAAGAGCTTTAGAGGCGCCATCTTTATTGATATGGAATCTTGCTTCTAGCATCCGCGAATAATTGTTAAGGATGAAAGTAGCGTAATTTGAGCCGTCATGGGCTGTAGGTTTGATATGTTGTATGTCGACGTAAATAATACCTCCAACTTTCATGGCTTTAGGCATATTGGCGCGAGAGATAATCTGTCTAGCCTTGTCTAATTGGCATACTTCATAAAACTCATGTTGATCATCGCTTGGTTCAACAATTCCTAACTTCTCTGCCAATTTTGTGCGTTTGTGGCCTAGGTGTGCAAGTCGCCTATGTTGCAAGATAGGCGAGACAGCTGCAAGGTTTGTGTGAGCTGTAATAAGCTTATCTCATACATTAACTGTGTAGACGATAGGCACTTGAAAAATGGTATGTGTATGACTGACAATAGAGTCATCTGTTATCCTTCGAATAGTGTAATCTTTTGAACAATACTAAATCCCATGATCTTTCTTGGATGGCTCTGTGGCCCACAGGTTGAAGCTTAATCCTAGGACATGTTGCACTTTCAAGGCGATATCTGTATAGGTGTCATTGCCACTATCAAGCCTCATGAGGGTGATTCCTTCACCTTGTGTGGTACTGATGGTGCCATTGGAACATGTAAAGGTAGGTTTGACATCACTAGGGCTGTACTTACGATATTTCAAGAATGTAGCGTTGTCATCTGCAATATTGTTGGCTGCGCCTGAATCGGCTACCCAACTACCCTCAATGCTTCTAGGTTGCATGTAAAGTGAGAGTGTTGTGGTACTATCACGTGTAACTTGGTAGTGTGCGAAGTCGTCAACAACTTTAGGCACTGTAGCGAGTACGCTTGCAGATAAGTCGTGATTTACCTGATCATTGTAAGGCTGCGGGTCATCCTTTAGGTGGCTTAGGTATAATTTGATGCATGTAGTCGTTGTGCTCGGAGCAATCCAGGGTCCGCGTCTAGTAGTGGATTCGCTAGTATTGACGACAGGGATCTGAGCAGTACTGAATGCAGAGTTATAGAGGCTAGTCGAAGCTAGTGGCACAGGGGTAGGTTTCTGATTAGTCAAATCTTTACTCTTCTTTAAACCACCTCGGGCTTTCTTGGCCTTGGAGTAATTCCATAAATTATTGCGCCTAGGATTCCATGATTTAGGGAGTTCATCCATTAGATAGTAACAATTAGTGGTATCGTGTGTAGGCGATGAACAATAACCACATTTGCCTTGTTTGGAAGGTAAGGCACGTAAGCTTATGACATGCTTGTCAATGTCCGTATCTGGGGCTGGTTCATGCCTCATTTTATTGCTGCTATTGTTCCTATTTCCATTTCCCTTGTTATTTTGTGGCACATTGCTTGTATTGCTCTGCGGGAGTTGGAGGGTTGTATTTGAATGGTATTCTTGATAGCGCTTTGCGGTAACTATGGCCTTAGACACAAGATGCTGAAAATCTTCTAGTTGTATATCGCATAGAGGTGGGATGTCTTTCTCGTAAGCGGTAATCCATGAGCCTAATTTAGAACGTAAGCCATCCATCATAAGAACTGTTGGTAAATATGCTCCCATCTCTAGATTTGTGGATAGGAGGTTGAAGTAAGCGTTGCGAATCCTAATAATGAAGGCTTCAAATGTTGTGAATTTGTCTTGGTGCAAAGCAAGGATATAAGCTATTTAATTCCATCCAATGTTTTCACTGGTGTCTCCCTTGCAAAGCTTCTTGATGGCAAAAGCGTATTCATCGGTGTAACATATTGTTCCATTAATCATTCTAATCTCTTAGTTTAGATTGTTCGAAACCTGATTCTTCATCTAGGTGCAGATGGTCGCTGATAGCTGATGCTATATGTCAAAATGAGCACTATCCTCATCTGGACGTGCTAAATCTCTGTTGAGAATGTTGAGTAAGGCTTTACTCTTGCTAAAAAGGTCTCCCTCGATATTTTCAATCCAAACATCATAGAGGTCTTTTCTAGAAAGCCTCTCGATTAAAGCAAAGTCCAATTTGGTATTTGCAAACTTTGTAAGACCGCTATATTGTGTCTTTACAAGACTCGAAGTTGCACTTGTGGACGATAAGTGTGAAATTGTTGAGGTTGTAGGAGTGCCTTGTTGGCCTTGTTGGCTCTGTCCCTCGTTGCCGGTCATCTTTGCCGGGTATTTAGGGGTAAGAAGGTATTCAAATTCCAGCGGATTGACACACAAAAATACGCGTGGGAATAGCCTCAAAAGTAGTAAAAATGAGTGCAGTAAAGAGAGGAAAATCTATTTGAATAAAACACGAATTTTCAGGTGCTCATAACCTCTTGTGCTTGAAGCAGGAAAACTGACTCTGTTGTGTGTGTCTCTCTAGGAACCTAGGTTCCTAGGAGCGGAGATATCTAGCTACCAGCGCGCTAACTACATCCGGTAGGCGGTGCTGACTATCTAAGGGCAGAATCCCAACAAATAACAACATGGGGAATTACATAGTAGCCATCTTTAAGCCACAGCCTTTCACTCTCCAACTTAGACATGAATTCCTTTCCTTCGGAAGCTTTTGTTTCGCCACCCATTCCTGAACACCGCTTACTATGTACAGCATCTGCAAGCGGGCTTGCATTCACGGGTCCCACTACAGGACAAGACGCCGGGAACCCCACCAGAGAGTGTTGTTGTCTTCATTGGACCACTTACCTCGTTAGATTAGCGCCCGTCATCAAGACACCAATTCGAAGCATTTTATCGGTGATAATAATACGATTAGAATTAAAATAGCTAGTCTATCTCACACCAGCTCCACTGATGCTTGACATGTATCACGTCTTTTTGTTCATTGGCTGGATATTCACAATCAGCCAGCTATATTGACCAATAAGGAGAGCACCTGTGAATTACCATTTGCCGTTAGCCTTATCTGTTTCAGACTAGCACCATGAGTCTCATGACTGCTGAAATTACTTTCAACCAATCAATTCCCGGGAAGGAACGCGGCTAAATAAGGCAGTTCGGGGGCCACCACTTTCCAGTTCAAGCCCAAGTCTTTCTGCGCTATGCATTACCCCAGTTCAGAAGATACATTCTTAAACATCGCATTTCTCTTTCCCAGACAACCTCTGCAAACTTGATCCACTATCACCACTTTATGTAGTCTGTTAGTGTCGGTTTATCTACGTCTAGGTCGCTAGCACTAGTCACGTAGAACAGCTATTCCGACAAGCTGACGAGCCTGATCAATATGGTATGGAATTCCAAGAGTAAGGGGGACGGGGGATAGCTAGCTACATATAAACGTGGCACGCACGTGCCGCGTTAGACTAACTGATATCCAGTGCTGAAACGCGCTAGGTTTGATATTCACGTTCCGACACTGGCAACTCTCTAAGAAATAGGGACAGTATGATGAGCGGTACATGATTGATAAGGTAAAGGGATTGGTGTATGTTGCGTTGGAGGTGTTGTAGATCTTTCCACCCATCCATCCACATTGATATTCAGCTTATTTGTATCAATAAGTGCCTGTAAAGCACGACATGGGTCGCTCTTTGTCATGGCGTCGGCTGGATTGCTTTCACCGTCAATCCACTTGATTTCTGCGATTTTCTGGCGTTCGTATGATTGACGGAGGCACATGAGGTCAATCATTAGACGCTTTTCTTGGGTAGTGCCTAATTTGACGAGGCATTCGTATAGGCTCTTCGAGTCAGTGCAGATAACAAGGGGAAGGGGCTTAGTGAGATGTAGAAGCTGCGTTGTTGTTGATTTGATTTAATTGACGCAGCCGAATCGAAGCCGTGAACCATGGCATAAAGTTCAGAAGCAAGTACGCTTCTTGTGACGCGCTTGCACTTGATTGAGGACCAATGTACAATATTTGCGTTATTTGCGGCATCTGAAAGAACAATGACAAAGCCAATTTGGGAGGAGAAATCCTTATTGTTTGCGAAGCACGAATCTACAAATATTACGAGGCGTAGCGAATCCAAATCCAGACGTACAAAGCGTAATCCGCGTTCAGCATTATCAAGTTGCCATTGGAGGCGTTTATTAAGTGACTTGATGTCGTCTTTTTCTGGATTTGTGATCTGGGCAGCGAACGATAGATCAAAGGAGGCCTCAGGCTGCGATACGGAAGCAATGTAGGCTCCAAGTGCGCGTTGAGCCACATATTGTTCCTGCGGCGATACGTCCTTTCGGACCTTGCCTCGGGAACTTGTTGTATCCGCATGTCGATCTTGTACAGACCGTATAAGCTTACAAGTGCGTTCCTGGGTAAGGGTGATACCCTGGGCATCCTCCGCAATGAGGCCACCGTTGAATTTTAACGGGTTCGAAGGTGTAAGCTTCTCTCGTAGTTTGCAAAGGATATTAGCTCGTTTGATCTCATTCTCTTCGCGGTTCGCGAAAGCGTTGTCGGCGAGGATGAGGGTATCATCGGTTTGCATGCCGACAATGCCAAATCCTTGTGACTGATCAATGCAGTGCAAGAGGCACGGATCGTAGGTGGATGTTGTCATATTAAGTTTGTCTGTGTGATGCACATGATATGTTCGAAACCAATGATTTCCTGCTTCAGGGATGCCATACAAAGGCTTGACAACCTTCAATATTGTGCCTGGAGGGAACAGGTGCACGAGTTCGGGAGGGGTTCGTATGTAGAAGTTGTTGCGAGCGAGGGGCGTAGTTGACTGTACATAGGCTTGCGTGACGTCGCGTAGGAAAAGATGAGTATTAGTAATGCAGGTTGTAAGGCACAAAAGCAGGCGTTGGCTGCAGCGCTGTATTGTAGGCGATTGAGTCAATATGATCTCTTTCCCTTTGTCGTTGTAGGCTTGTACGACTAGTCGCGACTTTTCAAAGGCCTTGTCGGTGCCCGGATTCTTTATCTCGTTGACGAACCACGAATTGAAAATTCGGGTGCCTTCTGGGATGTCGTCTACTTTGACCACTTCGAATACACCATTTTCCAATAGACCGTTGATCTCTTTCTCTTGTGATTGGTCGAATTGAGCGAATACCGATTGTATAAGGTCATCTCGATACCAGGCTAGTAATTGCCGATTTCGTTGGGGGCGCTGTGCAGGCCTTGCCTGGGGTGTAGGTGTGTCTGACTCGTCGTCTTGAGGTGTGGGTGGTGTTGAGTTTGTGCCTGAGGGTACCTCAGGCCCTTCATTTGTATGCTCCGAATCGGTGTTTTGGTCGTTCTCATCCGGTGCCTTGTAGTACGGCCTCACAACGGTTATACGGAATTGCTTTGGTCCATTTGGAAACTGAATTGTGCACGTCTCGCCATCAACGCTTAGTAATTTGTATGGGCCTTTCCACTCTCCTGCATAACCAGTGTTTCCTTCCCTCCATACGCGTACATCCGAGTTTATTGGCAGAAGATGTACAGCCGTAGACGCAGGGCCGTTACGCGTATTGAGGGCATCTCGGGGTACATCTCAGTTGCTCGGGGGTCCTGATTGCGTTGGATGCTGGGAAGGTTTTAGTTTAAAACAGAATCGTCGAGAGATTCGGATTGTTCATGACGTGAGAGGTATCTGATGCGCACTAAAATATATGGCCACTTACATGGATCACAGGCACTTAAGTTTCGCCATGTTAATTGGTGCCTCAATGTTCCCCCGTCATTTCCAGAGACTCTCCTGATGAAAGGGGACCATGTATCTCTTTCAGGACGCGGACACATTTCTGAGGAATATTACGTGCAAGGAGATCCCGAACTGGAAGTAGATTTAGTGTCCCAATTCGGGAACTTCACAGTTGAAGCTATATGGATCGATCAAGGGTTGCGAAGCATCAAAGTTTATAGTGGTCTTGATGGTATTTCGGGGATTTCTGCACAGGCATCGTCGGAAACTTATTGGGTTGGCGTTTGCAACACTAATCCCAAAACCATATTTTTGAACGCTCCCGAAAAAATATTGACTGAAGTCGATCTGGACTTCTAACCGTTCTCTTGCTATAGCGGTAAGCCTTATACTCTCGTCAAGCAAAGTTGTAGAGTTCACTTCAGCTCATGGCTGTGCAGCTAAAAACCAGTTACGACCGTCGGCTGGAATCTTCCCAGCCAAAAATTTATTCCATAGTCAGGAACCTTCGACCACCACCTGGGTATTATATAGCAGGATTATATTTCCGATTAGGAGGTATGTACATAGAGTCAATTGGTTTGATTTATACCGGTTGCTCTCAATGATTTCTTGTACGCGAAAAGTTTACCAGATTTAGATCTTCAACTATGAACATGAACAGTTGCGGTGAGAAGGTCATGATTGCTATGAAATTAATGAACAATATTTCGATTTCGACGGAGGGGCCTTTGGTGAATCTACAGAGACTCTGCAGTAGAGTCTTTCCAATGCACTAAATCAATTGAAAATTTTCCCTTTCCCCTGAACCACTACTTCGACTTAAACACCTGGTCACAATTGAGTTCCAACGGTCAACAATTCATTTTCCTTTTTGGTTCTCTTCAAATATTTGTCTGGCTGGCCATTTATGCCGACGATATACATAACTGCCACCAACTTCCGTGGATGGTCGCGATAGCTTTGTCCGGTAATGGAATGGCTGGCTAGATAGCTTCAAAAATAAGAATATCTAAAAGAAAGATTTTTGCGATTGGCGCGTGTCCACTCAGAAATGGAAGAGCGAGATACACGAAAGCTCGTAGGTAATGAGCATGAGTTACCCCTCGCAACACCGATCAGCACGATTCCTCAGCCGTTTGCTTCTTTTTGGAGGGTTGACAAGCTGCGATTGATTTTCGCCTCTCCTCTTGGGTAGCAATATACCTGTCTCATTCACATCACCTGCTACAGCTGGTTGCAAAAATAGTGCGCGCTTTTACTCTCTTCAATTGTTTTATGTGTTTCACCCTAACCTTGATCAGGCAAAGTGCCCGGATTAATGATATACCGTAAGTTTAACTTAACTGTAATTTACCGTAAAATAACATGATGCTTTTGAAACTCCCATACCGTAAAAAACTTTAGGAAATCTAGTGGGACTATGCTGATTCCCGACTTCAGGATACCTGATAGCGAATCGTGTACTAGGAAGGTCTCTTGGGTGGACGAATGAGATATATTGGCTTACTCGTCTAAACTATGTGCCGAAGATGTGCTTACATACGGAGTAGATACGCATACAAATAGCTGACAACCTTATACCAAATTCTTATCCCAACCTTTCAACAAGTGCACGTAAGTAGGCCATGTAAAAAGCAATGTTTGGGGGACTATTTGAACATGGACACAATTAATTATATGGGATTCTTGGATTAAGCCGTAGACGGCTGGTTGGCCAATATCAGACTGTAGCCCCCAAAATGGTCAGCCCGTAAATTTCACGCGCTGACAACTGGTCTTACCCCGCCTACTCCGCTCCTACAACTCCTCCCGATTCCCATTCCCAAACATTGTTGTGGTATCGTCGTCACACTATCATTACCGCGTTATCATCGTCGTACTATGATATGACCATGGCGTCTTCAATATCATTTCATGACCAAAATTATGGAATGCAGACGGGGATAAATAACGGCACGATCAATGCTTACTTTAATTCTTGTGCAGGTAGATAAGTTAATGAGGTCTTATGAAGTTGGGAATATTATTGACGAGTGCAGACCCCCTAGACAAGCTGCTAATTGCAGATGGCGCCGAGTTTGACTCGTACGCGGATCAGCATGAATATTTTTGTCTGCCAGGCACCAGGGTCGAGCTTCTATCCCAAATTTCAGAGTGGGCCGAGTCATCAAACGGGAAATGTATATTCTGGTTGAATGGAATGGCGGGAACGGGGAAGTCTACCATTGCTCGAACAGTTGCTGAATCCTTCAAAAACAAGGATCAGCTAGGCGCCACCTTCTTTTTCAAGCGGGGTGAAGCCAATCGCAGTAATGCAAGATATTTGATCCCTACTATCACAAAACAGCTGGTCACCAAACACCAGCGACTGATTCCCGCTGTCTCAAAAGTTATTGAGGATAATCCAAATATCTCATCTAAATCTCTCAGCGAACAATTCGACAAGCTTCTTTTACAGCCTCTGGTTAGGTTAAATATGAATCAACCAGCAACTATTGTGGTTGTTATTGACGCATTGGACGAGTGTGATCGGGAAGACGATATCCAAGTTATACTTCGACTGTTGCCTAGACTGCAGAATGTGCAATCTGTATGTCTTCGGATATTTTTGACTAGCAGGCCTGAACTTCCAATCCGGCTTAGTTTCAAGCAAAATAGTAACCATCAGGACTTAGTTCTCCATGGTCTTCCTCAGCCTGTGATTGAACATGATATTCACCTGTTCCTGGAGCACAAACTGTCAGAAATACGGGACGAACATTTACTTCCCCCGGAGTGGCCTGGAAATAAAAATATGGAAAAGCTGGTGAAGATGGCCGTCCCTTTGTTCATTTTCGCGGCCACTATCTGCCGTTTTGTAGGGGATAGGGACTGGCTTCCCGAGGAACGTCTTACAGCTGTTCTCCAAGATGAAGCAGCAACATCTACATCAGATATTGAAAGAACGTACCTGCCGGTATTGAATCAACTCATTGTTTCAAGGAATAAGCGTGATTGCGAGCAATTCATGGAAGAGTTTCAGAACATAGTTGGAGTTATTATTCTTCTCGCTACTCCTCTTTCCGTCATTGCTCTTGCACGACTGACAGGAATACCCCAGCGTACTATCAGCAATCGATTGAATAGATTCCATTCGGTCCTAAATATACCGGATGAGCCTCACCAACCAGTCCGCATTCTGCATTTGTCATTCCGAGACTTCCTCATTAGCACGACAAGCACCTTCCATGTGGATGAAAAAGAGACGCATCGGAAGATAGTCTTGCATTGCTTCCGTGTAATGGGCACTGGCCTGAAGCAAAATATCTGTAGTCTATCAAGCTATGGAATAGAGCGAGCTGATATTAAAAGCCAGACTGTTAATCAACATCTCTCAACAGATTTGCAATACTCCTGTCAGTACTGGGTATATCACCTTCAGCAGAGTAGAGGTTACGTCTCTGAGTTCCCGATCCTTCCCTTCTTAAAAACACATCTCCTTCATTGGTTCGAGGTACTAAGTCTTATGGGTATTCTATCCGAAGCTGTGGGAAATATAGATATGCTCCAGGCAGTGGTCGCGGTAAGTGTGTCTGCTCTTATGGATAATAATTAATAATAACACTATTAGAAGAATACAAATACTGAAATCTCTGAGTTTTTATATGACGCGAGGAGATTCATCCTTAAGAACATGTTTATGACTAGTATCGCTCCTCTGCAACTTTATCATTCAGGACTGGTATTTTCACCGAAACAAAGTGTTGTGCGAAAGATGTATAGCGATAATATTCCAAAATGGATATGTCCATTACCACAAGTGGAAGCCACGTGGAGCTCCAATCTACAGACACTCACGGGCCACTCAGAATCGGTTAACTCTGTGGCCTTCTCTTCTGATGGATTAACCCTAGCCTCAGGCTCAAGCGACCAGACCATCAAACTCTGGAATGTGAAGACTGGCCAAGAACTGCAGACACTCACAGGCCACTCAGGTTGGGTTAGGTCTGTGGCCTTCTCTTCTGATGGATCAACCCTAGCCTCAGGCTCGTATGACCAGACCATCAAACTCTGGGATGTGAAGACTGGCCAAGAGCTGCAGACACTCACAGGCCACTCAGATTTGATTAACTCTGTGGCCTTCTCTTCTGATGGATCAACCCTAGCCTCAGGCTCGTATGACAAGACCATCAAACTTTGGGATATGAAGACTGGCCAAGAACTGCAGACACTCACAGGCCACTCAGAATCGGTTAACTCTGTGGCCTTCTCTTTTGATGGATCAACCCTAGCCTCAGGCTCACACGACAGGACTATCAAACTCTGGAATGTGAAGACTGGCCAAGAGCTGCAAACACTCACAGGCCACTCAGATTTGATTAACTCTGTGGCCTTCTCTTTTGATGGATCAACCCTAGCCTCAGGCTCACACTACGGGACTATCAAACTCTGGGATGTGAAGACTGGCCAAGAACTGCAGACACTCACAGGCCACTCAGAATCGGTTAACTCTGTGACCTTCTCTTCTGATGGATCAACCCTAGCCTCAGGCTCACACGACAGGACTATCAAACTCTGGAATGTGAAGACTGGCCAAGAGCTGCAAACACTCACAGGCCACTCAGATTTGATTAACTCTGTGGCCTTCTCTTCTGATGGATTAACCCTAGCCTCAGGCTCAGATGACAGGACCATCAAACTCTGGGATGTAAAGACTGGCCAAGAGCCGCAGACACTCACAGGTCACTCAGGTTGGGTTAACTCTGTGGTCTTCTCTTCTGATGGATCGACCCTAGCCTCAGGCTCAGATGACCAGACCATCAAACTTTGGGATGTGAAGACTGGTCAAGAGCTGCAGACGCTCACGGGCCACTCAGAATCGGTTAACTCTGTGGCCTTCTCTTCTGATGGATTAACCCTAGCCTCAGGCTCAAGCGACCAGACTGTCAAACTCTGGAATGTGAAGACTGGCCAAGAACTGCAGACACTCACGGGCCACTTAAGTTGGGTTAGGTCTGTGGCCTTCTCTTCTGATGGATCGACCCTAGCCTCAGGCTCAGATGACCAGACCATCAAACTCTGGGATGTGAAGACTGGCCAAGAGCTGCAGACACTCACAGGCCACTCAGATTTGATTAACTCTGTGGCCTTCTCTTCTGATGGATCAACCCTAGCCTCAGGCTCAATTGACAAGACCATCATACTCTGGGATGTGAAGACCGGTCAAGAACTACAGACACTCACAGGCCACTTAGGTTGGGTTAGGTCTGTGGCCTTCTCTTCTGATGGATCAACTCTAGCCTCAGGCTCGAGTGACAAGACCATCAAACTCTGGAATGTGAAGACTGGTCAAGAGCTGCAGACACTCACGGGCCACTCAGATTCGGAAAGGTCTGTAGCTTTCTCTTCAGAGGATTATCTTATTCCAATTTTACATATGAACAGTAACCCAAACCTATCTCATCTTGACCATCAACTCTCTTTATCAAATAACTGGGTCTCTATGGCAGGTGAAAAGCTAATGTATCTTCCACCTGAGTATCGTCTATATATTTGCTTAGCTGTGAAGGGTGTGACCATTGCGCTTGGGTATAGTGACGGCCGAGTCATTGCTATGGGATTTCATATACAATAGATTGACTCGTCGCATTGAACTAACTACTTCCTCTTATTTCCTAATCTCTTTTCAAAATAAGGTCTGGGATACGGAACTGTCGGTTTATCTACGTCTAGGTCGCTAGCACTAGTCACGTAGAACAGCTATTCCGACGAGCTGACGAGCCTGATCAATATGGTATAGAATTCCTGATATTGATGACTGCCCCCCAAGAGTAAGGGGTGTGTGTGTGTGTGTGTGTATATTTAACGGCCGTGGTTCGTGACTTGCACGCTTCCCACCGATCCCTACTGGGATATAGGCCGCCGAGGGTTAAGCCTCGGGCTTCAGGTCCTATCAGATTTATATACAAATAAGAGACTCTTTGGCGCATTTCCATAGCTGCCATGGTCTTAAAGGGAGATCCACTTCCTAGTGGGTTTTGGGTATTTGCCAGCTGCAATGGTCCACCTACGCTCCATGACCCATCATTCTACCACCATCATACTTAAGCAGTGAGTTTGAAAAGAAAAAGGGAAGAAGGAAAGAAGGAAAGAAAGAAAGAAAGAATGAAGGAAAAGAGAGATATAAGAGGGAAGTAGGGCTGACTTAGCTAGGTGCTAAGGAGAGGTTGGCGAGGACAGATATCCTCAAAGAAATGGGTCTCTGCTAGCTATGAGGCTAGTTTTCATGTTCCTTTCACAGTATCTAAAAGAAAAGAGATAACTTTAGAAGGGGGTCCAGGTGGACGAGGAGCTCGTCTCTTAGCTATATGGTAGAAGAAGAAATATAGAGGTGCTTTTTATGCTCTACACTAACAGAGAAGATAAGCATCATCATGATTAAAGTGTTTATGGTAGTCTGCAAAGTCTCCATGACTAGTATGGGCCACAATAATATGGCCAAGGTCAAGTCGGTTAAGTTGAAGCTCCCCAGGGCACTTAGAAGAAGTAGTTATTTCTAGATCTTGATAACTCTATGGTGCCACCTTCTGCCATTGTAACTGAGCAGTGGATAGGGATTGAGTCTTGGCGTGTCTCTTTAGTGAGGCGTATGAGGATTTGTGAGGAGCAGGAGGGGTTAAGGCAGCTCCCTCTTTGGCAGCGAGATTAGCCGCTTCATTCTTAGGGATTTTAGCGTGTCCAGGGACCCATCAGATTTGGATTGATCCACTTTTGGTGTGTGGAAGCCTTTCGCGTAGTGGCCAGGCGGCTGCAAGGGTGCGGAAGGATTCAAAGACCTCTTGGGAGGATCCTGTAGAGGGGGATAGGAGGCACATGGCAACTTCCAGGTTATTAAGGCAGATCCATAGGTTGGTAGCAAATTGAGCTATTAGGTATGTTATTGCTGCTTAAGCACCAGCTAGGGCAGCTTCTGCTTCTGTATCAAAGACCTCTTTCCTATGTCCGTATAAGAGTGAGGAGCGGAGGAACTGATGGTATGCTTAAAATCCAATATAGCTACCCCCTGCACGTCCATCTATTAGCCTAGATCCATCTGAAAAGATTACAATATCTGAGCTAGGGATGGTGTGTTGAAAAGCTGTGAAATCAGCCGCTGCCTATTCCTTAGTGCGTCCCATGGGAGCTCCTATTTGGGCTAGGGCACTCTTGCATGACTCACGAGGGTACCAGGGAGCATGTTATAGAGGGTTTATTTATTCAGAGTTGGGGAGCGCCAGCACTCGGCAGGCAAATCAACTAGTTTGTTAGCCGTCTCTGGCTATCTGTTCTGCGCGTCTTCAGAGTGGGTGGTATGGATCAAGACGCCGTAGGCGGACAGATGTTTGGAGGGCTATTTGATCTAGTTCAATTTCCAGTAGAGAGAATCCAGACTCTCAGTATAGAACAGATATTGGGGTTGTGCGGAAAACTGGAAGGACTACTCTTACGCCTGCTAGTATTACTTTGGTTAGTTTCTCAAGATATTCTCCAACTTAATTTGAGATTTAGGAAGATCCAGGGCGAGTACGTCCTGGCCACCAGGTTTCTACGCTATAGTATACTTTATAGAGTACACAGGCTAATACAGCCTGCTATAGTAAATGAGGTTTGACTCTATGGATAGTATTCCCTAGAGAGCGAAGGGCATTAGCCACAGTGAGAGCTTTAGATGCTGTTTCACCAACATGCCATTTAAACGTTAGCTTTTTGTCAAAGAGGATTCCTAGCCAGTGTAGATATAGCCATTTAGTATTTTCTGAGATTATAATAGATCCAGCTTTTACTAAAGGTGTGTAGATTGGGTCCTGGTCTACTTTATATCGGGAGAAGTGAAGAAGCTCATATTTATCTGGTGCAAATATAATGCCCTCTACAGCGCCCCAGTTTAGAGCTTCTTGTAGTGAGTCTGATAATGCTTTATAGTTAGTAGTAAGAGATGTTGAGATTGCCAGGTTAGCTGCGTTGTCTGCGTAACTAAATCTGTTCCTTGGGTTTTCTAGACAGAATAGAGGCGCTATGTAGAGCATGAAAAGAATACTAGATACTGGGGATCCTTGTGGAAGACCGCAGGCAATGTCTGTTGAGGGGCCAATCTCTCCATCGAGTCGGATCTGGACTGATCGCCCAGTAGCAAAGGAGGTAATCCAGAGAACAAGATTAGTGGGCCAGCCCTGCTCACGTAATCTGTGGATGAGTCTGCCAGGAAGCACGGCATCAAAAGCGCCCTTAACATCTAGGGTAAGGAGTGAGGCAGTCATGCCTTGATTTAGTGCTTGTTCAACATCATATATTAGGCATGTGGTTAGATTATTTACAGATCTTAGTGGGAGAGCCCCAAACTGTTGCCTTGCTAATACTTTGTAGTGTATAGAGATCTATGCTATATTCTGTGCCACCAAGCGCTCTAGTCCTTTACTAAGTACTGATAGGAGAGCGATTAGTCTGTATGAACTAGGTGAAGATCAATCAGTCTTTTTTGGTTTCTAGATAATTGCTAAGATTGCATGTCAAAAGTATTTTGGGTGATAACCAATCTTTAGGCACCCTTGGTATAACATTAGTATCTTGTCCTTAATCAGAGGCCATGCCACTTTAAGTATGCAGGTTGGGATTTTGTCTGAGCCAGGGGCTATGTTTCCTGCCTGAAGTACTGACTCCTCCACCTATGCCATTGTTATATCTGGGAAATAGAGACTAGTGGTAGGGACTGCTGGGGAGTCCAGCAGTATATCTCCTACCTCAGCCGAGTTTTGGAGAAGATTATGGACTAGTACGTCTCGTTTCTCATGTATAGTAACTGCTGGGAAGCTATTAGATCTCAGTAAATCCTTCAGTGAAGGGCTTCGGAAGGTGCCTGTGGACTTATGCTATTTACTTATATTAAAGACATCCTTCATTTGTGTTACCGTAGAGAGCTTATCTCGCCAAAATTGTCAGGGTATGAATTACACACACACACACACTGTATGTTGACCCGGTCATAGTAGCGGCTTCAAATGAAATTCGCGACCAACTGCAGGTTATCATCCGGAAACATTTGCATCAACGCGTCAGTATGATGGTCATGGCCTACCAGCCATAGTGATAGGGAGTCTAGAGGGATCATGTTGCCATATAAATGGCAGGATTGTGAAAGGTGATATTTTTATTGCTCATTAAACAAACCGCCACTACAGTTGTTTGCAAAAGCAGCGCACGCTTCAACTCACTTCAATTGTCTAATAATGCTCAGTTTAACCTTGTTCAGGCAAAGCGCTGAATTAATGATACCCCAGCTTCACTCCACTGTAATTCACTGTAAAATAACATGACGCTACTTGAAACTCAACGCCCACCGGAACCTTCCTGCCGAAGGTTATCTGGAGAGCGTGGGAAGCTGTAAATAACATCTTGGACAGCCTTTGTATTCTTATATCGTCATACTATGTTTACAATAAAGTTATTAAACTAGAGGAATTTTCCCGTCATCTGAATACTTGCTGAGTTACCGATTTACGACACCTGTAATTATTTACATTTCCAATAGGGGAGACTTGATAACTAGACCAAAAAGCTGCGCGCATACTAGATGATCTAGTATGGTAAGATATAATATGGAACAGAAATCAGGAGGAGTGAAGCGGGATTCCTAACATAACATTACGGTGAGTAATCCAAATCAATTCAAATAATACGGGACCCAAGACACGCAAGATGTTTCTGTGAGGTTAGTTCAGAGTAGTCATGATTAACTGGAACGGGCAAATGAGATAATCCGAGATCAGGTCCAAAACTCCTCACGTCGGAGCAACTACGTCGTCACTTGTTATGACTATCAATATTAGCCACTTCTCAATATTCTAGTTCGAGATTCCAATCCATGTACAGAAGTCTGCTCTGTTTTTGGCCATTCTATGTAGTCGGCATGCACAGTATCCCGCAAAGGAAATCATCACTTATAGCAAGAGACAAACCCGTAATAGCGAATGACGGTTAGTAATACTCTTCAATTTTCACGCCTGCACGTTTAGGTCTACTGAGTACAGCGGCGGATATATCAGTTTGACTTTTGCATCAGTGCTTATTTGATGGATGCGATCAGTATGATGAAAAGATGCATTGTCCATGACCAGGGCAGACTTCGGCTCTGGTCATTTTCCACAGTGCTGGAGAGGATGTTCAATGAAAGTTTTAAACACGGAAGCATTAGTGGAACCCTAAAATACACCAGAAAGAATAATGCCGTCTTGCGCGTATGCCGGTCAATTTTGATATCGCTAGCCATGGTGGAATCGAGATAATTGAACTGGTGCCACGCCAAGAGAGGACCAACCTGTCCGCCTAAATGCTATACGTTTATTGTACCTAGATTTATCAATGTAGAGTAAGTGATATGAATAGAATTCTGAAAGGTCATGGAGATAGGAATCTCGTAAATCCGTATTCTGTTCTCTTGCTTTCCTCTGGATTGTCTTTTTGAACCACCTAATGGAGGCAAGAGCCCTGCTGATAGTGGATGCCATTGTAAGTATATAGAATTTATCCCATAGAAGCACCACCATCTCATCTAGGTACAAGCTTAGGTTTTCAAGCAGATGATCACAAAATGCTTCTAACATCACTCGCGTGATGCTTCGTCGGCTACCAGTACGATTCGGTGACACTGCCAAACAGCAATAGATTTGAGCGGATATTTTTGATTGACCGTTTACTGCAGCCAGCAGCTTCAGCTATCTAGGATGCAGTAGATGGCTCACCGCTGATCATCATATCTTGAATTACTTCGATTGCGACAGGGCTAGTCTTGGTGCCATGGTGAGTAGAAATTTACTGACGTTTGGAGGATTGTTGATGGTCTGCTACACAAGAAGGATGAGGGACCGTTTAACATCCGCCTAGGTAGCATGATACGTGTAATTTACAATGAGTTTCGGTCGCATCAGTGTTTCGTATTTTACAAGCGAACATTGTAGAACAGAGAAACTTGAGGAGCTTAACGGTATACGAACTAGTTTGTTTCAAATATGGGCTGGAATGAAAATCTAGTGTGTTCATGAGTGGAACTGATTTTTCAAGGCACTGTAATTGACTCCTTTATTCGCTGTTACTCTGCTCTGGGGCAATCTTTGCTTGATAGATAGAAAGTGCTGAATTGTACAGTACATGTACAGTACAGTAACATATTTCGATTAACCAACTCTATTTTGGTCAGAGTGATGACGAGGAAACGCAGACTGTTGTCGTCTCGGTGATAATGACTATTTTCGTGGAGTTAAGTGATTGACGAGTAACCGAGAGAGCAGAGGTGGCCCAACCAGAGAGACTGGGGGTTGTTCTAGTAATGCCTTTACTTACGGAGTTCAAGATCGAGGTTGCGAAGGTGGTGCTAGCGGTTATAACTGTTCCTGTTGGTTGCTTCATGCAATCGAGATGTGTCAGATAAGCTGGCTTTCCAATGAAGCCATCAAATGAAGCGATCAATCCGAAACTGTTATGTGTAAGAGAATGGTCTCAGGTTTACCCCATGGCCCATGGGATAGCTTACAAATCAGCTCAGGAGAAGGTCTATATAGACGCGGCTTTGGAACATGATGTACTTAGAAGAAGTGAACACACAGAACTGAAAGAATCACCTATTGAGATTGACTCAAGTGCTTCGTACGTACGTATATGCACCTTAGTGCACCCACAATTCCTAAACTAGTGGCGCTTTGCTCATTACCGTAACAACATTATCTTGTTCTTTAAATGTACTTGACTAGGCAGAAAATATTAGACGCCTACTACTACCTAAGTGACAGTCACACAGTGGCTTGCAGCTGATTATCTACTAAATATTTCATCCTATTAATCGTACCTATTACGGGCCAGTTTTCTCCACGCTATGTGGCATTCTTAGTTTTAATACTTTGACTTTGAGTACGGATGTATTTATGAACCAAGCAAGAATATTCGAAGTCTGCATTAAAAACAGGCTAGTAAGGACATGCATATTACTGATATGCATGCATCTGTACTCCATTTCCAACACCGGACTGGGGCCTATCAGACCTGGCTAGATCCGTATGGCGGATGCGATTCACGGTAGCCGCGAACCAACGAATGCATAGGCAGGACATCTTCCTTGGATAAACGATAAATGAGCGTATAGATTACATGAAATTTAGTATTATTTACTCGAACGATCCTACTTAGGACACAATTGCCAATGATAGGCAGCCAGCAACAGCATCACCTACAAGATTGAAGCCGACACGAGGGTGTTATCAAAGTAATCTTCCAATCATTTCTCAGTAATAGGCGACGGGCTTTAAATCTATTATCCACAGTGCTCTGCAGGAAAAAGTCAACTTGAATGTTACTCTACATACTGAGCTGTGAATGATCATTCTCATTTAACCGGTCTGGTGGCGTCCTAGGTAATTGATAATCAATACAGCTAAGGAACAAGAAACTCTTGCATTTGCAACCTGGACGAAATATGAGATATATGTTCCAACATTGAGAAACAGAGCCATTGGTCTAGTTACTAATGGAGGTGATTTATATAATCTGGAGTCTTTTACCGCTTGTAAATTTTGTTCAATTTCCGTGTCTATCTTCTTTTGTGGACTTTAGCCTACCGATTTCAGTGTTGTATATTACTGGTCACTCTACAGTAAATTCTACCACCACTGTAGTGCTTTGACTTGTGATCTCCTTCACGGAACACTCGATAGTAGACAATGTGGTCTTTTCTCTACGCCACCGTGATTGTTGGCCTTGTAGCCTCAATCGCTGCTCAAAATATAAAGCCTGTAGTCGAACTGTTCCAAGTGGACTTTACCACCAACAACCAAGGCGGATGCAATTATGTTGCCCAAGCAAACATGCAACAGATTCTTCAAGACGCTTACGACCTTGGTACTATCGGTAGTCAACTCGTCTCAGACTACAAGAACAACGTTGTTGAAGCGCGGCGTCTCCTTGATTCCTTCTTTCAGGTGCAGAATCCGCCGATGAATGAAAACGAGTTGGAGGACATATCAGGTGAGTGACCTCGTCATGAAAGTTGAACTGTACTTATACGTTCGCATTTCCAGGTGCATATAAACAGGTTTCGGATTGGATCTTGAATGGCGGCCCCTACGACAATGAAAGTAGAGATAATACACCATTCCTCTTCTGCTTTCATAACTGGCTTCAGAAAAAGACTATGAATGATCCAGCACAGGATGAAAATGGAGAAACATATCCAAACGTGGAGTCAGGGGGGGCTCCATTTCTAATACGAGATAGTGAAGTTTATCGGAATATGCAACAAAAAGAAACGGAAGAGGCGGAGTTGGATACTCCTGCTCCTCCAGTATGTTGGATATATTCACCTTCGATTCATGGTTCTATCCTACTGATAAAGATTTGTTAGTATTGGAGCTATAAGCATCACGCATATATTTTCGATCGGTCATACGGCGGACCAAATACAGGAATGTGCAGCCGCCGCAAGTACGCAGGAGGCACACAGCATGTGTTGAATCCAAGCAGTATCACGCTTTGCCCATTTTTTTTTGGCACGACCAACGCCCGAAGTGGAGGAATAAAATACGTGGCCCGCAGATCTGTGGCTCCAAATCCTATACCCAGGGCCAGTGTAAAGACTGGCCTGAAGAATGCCCAAACTCTTTCGGATGTCACGCCTACGGCGACAACACTATTACATGAGCTATTTCATCTTGTATCGGGAAATGAGCTAACCACACCTCCTCCACCGGGAGAGGTTTATGGGCTTTTGAAGGGCGAGGGAGGAAATCCCAATAAAATCGTGGGACTCGATTTTGATAACGCTTCGGAGAACCCAGAGTCTTTTGCTCTGGCTGCCGTAGCATACGACTACACACTCAACTGGCCACCTGACAATGCTGGTAATAGGATCGAGTTTGAAGCTGGCTATACTACACAGGGGTAACGGAAACACGCTCTCTTTTGATGTCTATTACACGCAGGGACATTTGAACTTGGTACTAAAATCGAATTTTGGAACAATATATAACATACAATGCCTGCGTTCATTCTCCCTTTCCAGCTATTAGGATACTATATCTTTAATATAGTATCCGTAATGTTTCAAAACCATTGTCCAAGCGCCCTTGATGTAACTATCGTCGTTTCGTTTTCCATCAGGGTCGATCCTTCGTAGTAGATCCTCAAACCATTTAATTAAAGCATTATTCCCACTTTCCTGAGCGAGAGCCGCAGCATCTAGTCCATCCTTGTTTTTTGCACAGACAAATATCACGGCTTTGTAAACAAAGATCAAATCCTCCTGAAAATCCCACTCCCATTCCTCAGGTGGGGGGTTTTCCTCATCGTGCTCCTCGTCATGAACAAAGCCACAATGAAGGAGTCTATAAACGGCTTTTGCGCCCTGGAGGCTACCGTGGCGAGCTGCGGCGTGAAGAGCAGTATCCCCCGCAAGATTCTGATGCGTCATCAAAACCCAGAATGATCCTAATGGCTTCTTATCATTACCGCATCTTCTACCCCAGCATCCAAGTAAACCACTCAAAAACTGAGTGTTTCCAACCGACGCCGCGCGATGAACGACAGAGTCTCCCGTAACCGGGTCAATAGCCGCAAAAAGATCAAAAGGCCCGTAAGTAGTTGAAATCGGTTTAAACTCTGTGGCCGCAGAGTGTAGAACCTCCTGAACATCATTCTCTGACATGGAACTTCCGAGACTTTCATCACGGAGAGGCAGTTCCGGTTTAGGCACCAGACGTGGCGGTGGGGGGCGAGGCGGAACGGATCGTTTCGTGAATTTGAATCGGCGGCCCATTGTAAGGAAAGGAGCAGACTCACTGATATTGACAAGACAATAGTTGGGAAGAATAATATACTGTCTCGCATCCATACCTAGGTAACCACTTTTCCGTCACGTGCCGCTCGATCCTCCCGCAAGATCATGCGTCATGCCCATTGGGCAAAATTCAACAGTCCCCCTTACTCTTCAAGATTTTCGAGTTGATAGGCGACTTCCTTATAATTATTCATATCAAACAGTCGGAGGCTCAAAATCCTCAACCCTCTCTACCACCTAGCTCCCAGGAGTGCAGCCTTTGACGCGTCTCAACGCGCCCGGCAACACCATGGCGCGTAAAGGCCCTGGTACAGACGGCCCTCTACAGACAGCCCTTCTAGAATCCACGTCTGCAGCCACAACAAGAGCTTCTGAAGGACAGAAGATCTTCAGCCCCATAGCTGCATTCCTTGATAAACACCGCAGCCAAACCACCGGCCTTGCTCCTCACCTACTGAGAGCCCTCACCACCCTAAGCGATGACCTCGCCTCGGTAGCTCAACAACATTTCAACGCCTATATTAGCGGTATCTCGACGACCTTCATTCTACCTGCCCTGTCTCCTTCCCCTTCCTCTTCCCCCATCCTAAATCCCTTACCCTCTTCACCCCCTCCCTCACGTCCCCCCTCAGGTCTTAACCAGTCAACTTATGCGACTATTACCCAATATGCCCCGGTCAAATCAACCCCCACTACTCACTCTAAATCCCCTGTTAAAAAGCCTATGCCTCTGGTGAAACAACCCCTTCCTGACAACCGGCTCTTCGTACGCCTCCCAGCTGACCATGCAGCTAGAAAAATGGAAGCCTACGCCATCTACTCTAGCCTACGGTCTCAACTAAACTCAAACAGTGCAGTGCTAAAAGAAGTTTAAGCCACAAAGACTGGCTTCGCACTATGCCCCTCATCTCCAGAAGCCCTCCTAGCCCTTGAGGCCCAAAAAGAGACTATCTCTGCATTCTTTGTTAACTGCCAGATAGAACGCAGCTCCCGATGGGTCTCATACCGAGTCACCAATGTGCCAAGGAAAATTGGCCAAATCTTGGATGGCTGATACTCTCTAATCCCTATCAATCCTACACTACTATCCTTAGAAATCAGCGAAACTACTGGGCTCAAGCCTATATCTATCAGCGAGACCGCTACAAGTGCCGCCAACCCTAATACTCTTTCCTCAAGCTGGTTTGTCAACTTCCCAGAAGGCACGAAATTACCACTGCCTATCCAACTACGTCTTTTTGGCACTATCACCAATGCCCGTCACCTCTCTAAGAGAACAACAGTTATCTAATGCACACGATGCTGGAAATGGCATAACACATGATCCTGTGCCCGCCCCTCTCAATGCCGGCTCTGCGGCTCCTTAGAGCATACTGAAGAGGGCCATATCAACCGCTGCACAGCCCTAGAGCCTCATCAGTGCCCTCCCAGATGCATACACTGCCATGGACCACATCCAGCTGATTTCCCAGAATGCCTCCTGCGCCCTAAAGGCAACACTAAATATACTAAAGCTCAATAAGTAGAGATCCGCAAATCCTGCGCCATAAACCTCGCAAAAGCTCGAACTGAAGGAGGATGTAGCTCTCAGCTTTCCATTAGCACACAAGAAACATCTATGGCATTAGATGAGATGCCAACTCAGCCTCCAACCCACAAGATTATCTCTCCTTTCCGTTCAGTAACCCCCCCACCTCGCACCCTAACTGAAGATCCTTCAATTACAGCTCGCGCAGTCCGCTTTACAACACCTTAATCACAAAACTGGTTCGCCTCTCTTCTTGAACAGGAACTATGATCTATCACTATCCAACTCAGAAGGTGCCTCTCAAAATCCTATAGCTAAATGTAGGACACGCGCCAGATGCACATGAAATAGCTCTCACATTAGCATACATAAGTGATATTGATATTATCCTAATCCAAGAACCATATACTTTCAAAGATCTTAGTCGACAGATCACTAAAAAACACCTATCATATGAATGCTTCTCCCCAACTGACAGTTGGGCGATAAGTGGCCGACCACGAGTCCTCACCTATGTTCGAAAGAAGAAAGGCATTCGGACCTTCCAGCTCCGCCCCTTCACAACTGACACTAAAGAGGCCTCGGATCTCCTGTTCCTTCAGATTTTCTCATCCACAGGAAAGTCTGCTCTGATAGTCAACATCTATAACACCCCAGCAGGCTCCATTAGAGCAGGTGAAGCCGCGAAAGCTCTCACAACCCTGCCAGAGGCGTATCTCCCTCAAGCAACAATACTTGCAGGCAATCTCAACCTACTACACAATAGATGGCAGCTCTCACTATATTGCAGCCCCACACCTTTCGTAGAGCCATTTATTAACTGGCTAGATCTCTAGGGTCTAGTACTCATTTCTGACATAGACTGTCCTACACATGAAAGGGGTAACGTGTTAGACCTCAGTTTCGCCTCAAGCCCTCTGGCACTCGCAGGAGCCAAAGCTAGCATAGCGAGCCACTTAGATGCAACCTCAGATCATCAACCACTAATTACCACTGTTCTATGGGATCAGAGATACAAGGAAACAGCTCAGAAACTGAGATTTAACACACTAGATCACACTTCCTTCCTTTCGCTCCTCGCCTCTAATCTTGCTGGCACCGAGAGCTCAGCCGCGACAGAAGAAGATCTTGATGCTTTCGCCGAAAAACTGACATCTGCAATTCAAGGAGCATATAGAGGCTCTGCTAAGAGGACCATGACACAAGGCATAGGATAACCATGGTGGAACGAAGACTGCAAGAAAGCTTTACACAATTACTGCTTAGACCTCTGCTCAAAGACAGACTTCCGCAGGATAACTAGATGGTCTCAACGACAATTTTGGCGAGAGAAGCTCTCTATGGTAACACAAATGAAGGATGTTTTTAACATGAGCAAATGGTATAAGTCTATAGGCATCTTCCAAAGCCCTCCACTAAAAGATCCGCTAAGGCCCAATAGCCTCCCAGCAGTTACTGTACACGAGAAACGAGACGTACTAGTCCGCAATCTTCTCCAGAACTCGGCAGAGGCAGGAGACATACCTCTGGACTCCCCAACAGTGCCTTCCACTAGTCTCTACTTCCCAGATATATCAATGCTACAAGTGGAGGAGTCAGTACTTCAGGCAGGAAACACAGCCCCTGGCGCAGATGAAATCCCAACCTGCATACTCAAAGTAGCCTGGCCTCTAATCAAAGATAAGGTACTAATGCTATATCAAGGGTGCCTAAAGATTGGTCATCATCCTAAATACTTTCGACACGCAATCTTAGCAATCATCCAGAAATCAAAAAAGACTGATTGGTCTTCACCTAGATCATACAGACCAATCGCTCTCCTATCAGTACTTGGCAAAGGACTGGAGCGCTTGGTGGCACGGAATATAGCATGGATCTCTATACACCATAAAGTATTAGCAAGGCAACAATTTGGGGCTCTCCCACTAAGATCTGTAACTAACCTGACCACATGCCTAACACATGATATTGAACAAGCGCTAAATCAAGGCATGACTGCCTCACTCCTTACCCTAGATGTCAAAGGCGCCTTTGATTCCGTACTTCCCGGCAGACTGATCCGCAGACTACGCGAGCAGGGCTGGCCTACCAATCTCGTTCTCTGGATTGCCTCCTTCGCTACTGGAAGATCAGTTCAGATCCAACTCGATGGAGAGATCGGCCCCTCAACAGACATTACCTGCGGTCTTCCACAAGGATCCCCAGTATCTGGCATTCTTTTCATGCTCTACATAGCGCCTCTATTCCGTCTAGGAAACCCAAGGAACAGATTTGGTTACGCGGACAACGCAGCCAACCTGGCGATCTCAACTTCTCTTACTACTAATTGCGAAGCCTTATCAGACTCACTTCAAGAAGCTCTTAATTAGAGCGCTGCAGAGGGCATTACATTTGCACCAGATAAATACAAGCTTCTTCACTTCTCCCGACATAAAGCAGACCAGGACCCAACCCGCACACCTTCAGTGAAAGCTAGATCTATTACAATATCAGAAAACACTAAACGGCTATATCTACAATAGCTAGGAATCCTCTTTAACAAAAAGCTAACATTCAAATGGCACGTTAGAGAAACAGCATCTAAAGCCCTCACTATGGCCAACGCTCTTCACTCTCTAGGGAATACTGTTTGAGGAGTCAAACCTGATTTACTACAGCAGGCTGTATCAGCCTGTGTACTCCATAAAGCATACTATGGCGCAGAAACCTGGTGGCCAGGACGTACTCGCCCTGGACCTTCCCAGATTTCAAACCGAGTTGGAGAACATCTTGAGAAACTAACTAAAGTAATACTAACAGGCGCAAGAGCAGTCCTTCCAGTCTTCCGCACAACCCCAAAGCCAGTCCTTTATCGAGAGTCTGGATTCTCTCCACCAGAAATCGAACTAGATCGAATAGCTCTCCTTGCAACTGTCCGCCTATGGCATCTCGACCCTTATCACCCACTTCAAAGACGCGCAGAACAGATCGCTAGTAATGGCCGACAAATCAGCCGATTTGCCCGCCATACACTGGCCCTCCCAAACTCTGAACAGATAAACCCTCTCCAATATGCTCCCTGGTATCCTCGCGAGCCTCGTGGGAATGCTCAAGCTCGAATAGGAGCTTCCATGGGACGCACCAAGGAACAGGCAGCAGCTAATTTCATGGCTTTTCAACGTACCATCCCTAGCTTAGATATTGTAATCTTTTCAGATGGATCTAGGCTAGTAGACGGACGTGCAGGGGGTGGCTATATTAGACTTTAAGCACACCATTAGTTCCTCCGCTCCTCACTCTCATACGGACACGGGAAAGAGGTCTTCGATGCAGAAGCAGAAGCAGCTCTAGCTGGCGCTCAAGCAGCAATAGTGTACCCAACAGCTCAATTTGCTACCAACCTATGGATCTGCCTTGACAACCTGGAAGTTACCATACGCCTTTTATCTCTCTCTACAGGATCTTCCCAAGAAATCTTTGAATCCTTCCGCACCCTTGCAGCCGCCTGGCCACTTCGCAAAAGGCTTCCTCACACCAAAAGCAGATCTATCTAAATCCGATGGGTCTCTGGACACGCTAAAATCCCTGAGAACAAAGCGGCTGATCTCGCTGCCAAAGAGGGAGCTGCCTCAATCCCTCCTGATCCTCACAAATCCTCATACGCCTCGCTAAAGAGATACGCCAAGACTCAATCCCTATCCGCTGCTCAGTCACAATGGGAGAAGGTGGCACCATAGAGCTATCAAGATCTAGAAATAACCACTTCCCCTAAGCACCCTAGGGAGCTTCAACTCAACCAACTTGACCTTGGCCATGTTATTACGGCCTGTACTGGTCATGGAGACTTTGCAGACTACCATGAACGCTTCAATCATGATGATGCTTATCTTCTCTGCCGATGCGGAGCACGAAAAGCACCTCTGCACTTCTTCTTCTGTCATATAGCTAAGAGACGAGCCCCTCGGCCTCTTGGGCCCCCTTCTGAGGTTATCTCTTTTCTCTTAGGCACTGCTAAAGGAGCACAAAAGCTAGCCTCATGGCTAGCAGAGACCCACTTCTATGAGGATATCTGCCCTCGCCAACCTCTCCTTAGCACCTAGCTAAGACAGCCCTACTCTTCCTTTATATTTCTCTTCTCCTTCTTTCTTCCTCTTCTCCTTCTTTCTTTCTCTTCTCTTCTTTCTTTCCCTCTCTGCAAAACTTACTGTTCAGGTATAATAGTGGTGGAGTAATAGGTCATGGAGTGTAGGCGGACCATTGCAGCTGGCAAATACCTAAAACCCACTCAAAGTGGACCTCCCTGTAAGACCACGGCAGCTATGGAAATGCGCCAAAGAGTCTCTTATTTGTACATAAATCTGATAGGACCCGAAACCCGAGGCTTACCCCTCGGCGGCCTATGTCCCAGTAGGGATCGGTGGGAAGCGTGCGAGTCACGAACCACGGCCGCTAAATATACACACACACACACACACACACACATTGGGCAAAATTAGGCGGTGAGATCCATCATATCACATATTTAAAGCTCGCCCTGCCCGCAACCGTTCCTCCATCTTTTCATCTTCCCTCTTCCAGGAACCTTAGCATCTCAATACGAACGCGGGCGGCTGGTACAGGATATTTATTAGTGCAACAGCAAAAATGGACGTTATATCCGAGCCCAGCAAATCAAATCTTGAGTGAGTGTTTTCGAAATCTAATTAATTATATTCATCGCTAATACAGAATAAGCATTATCGTGGTGGGTGGCACTGATGACACTGGCGAGTGGTTCGACAAGGACAAGGACAGTTTTGCGAATGATTTTCCAACTGCTCGTTTAATACTTTGCCGCTGGAGTAGGGGGCAATCTGATGAGAACGATGATGTTGGTCGAGATCTTCTCGATTTAAGACTCGGGATATTTCATCAATTCAATCCAATCATCTTCTTTGTATACAGCTCAGGGTACCCTGCATTTGAGAAGGCCATTGGGTATTTTGAGAAACGTGGACTACCGCTTCTATCGAACATATTTGGAGTGGCTTTCATACCTGAAACGGATGAGGATATTCCTCTATGTGCTTTCCCACTGCTCCAGAACAAGTTCAAGATCTTTTCTGGCACCAGACGACAGCATGATTCAGCTACAATCAGACAACCAACTATTATGACAGGGATCATCTGCGACAACCTGACGCTCAATGAAAACACAGGGTCAAAGTACCGTCAGATTCGCTCTAGTTTTCTGCAGTGGGCGAGAGAAGTGGATTCACCTCGGCAGGCCGCAAGCGAGCGGCCATACCCTACATTTGGGAAGATCCAGTTTAACGGGGCTATTTCCGGAACCAATGTCTATAACAACATTCGCATACCGCCAGGATCGAACATAAATTTGACATTTAAGTAGGTATCTCATCTTCAACCTCCACGGATACGGTTATACAAGTATCAGGTCATATTCTATTTGCGATATTATTCAATAGCTCTCTGAGTTGCAGTAGGCCTCTAGAGGCATTATGGGCCAGCCGATCTTCTCAATTTTAAAATGTATCCTCCAAATACTAGCAATCCTATGGTAATCCGACTGATCTTATCCATATTAAAGTTCTCTCCATAGTTTTGTTCGTAGGGAGAGCCAGTCTGACCCGAAGTAGTTGTAGTTGAGCTCCGGCTCACCAGGAACCGGTTTTTCTTTTTCTTCTTCTTCTTCTTCTTCTTCTTCTTCCGACAAGATTACTCATAGTCCCGGGCTTTGTTGGGTGCCACGCATCCTGTGCACGACATCTATCTGGTCATATGATATTTGCAATATTATTCAATAGCTCTCTGGGTCCGAGTACGCTTCTAGAGGCATCACCGGCCAGCCGATCTTCTCGATTTCAAGATTTGTCCTCCAAATACTGGTGAATCTGTCATAAGCCGTCTGACTTGGTCCGTATCGAAGTTCCCTCCATAGTTTTATTCGTAAGAAGACCCAGTCTGACCCGAAGTAATTGTAGTTGAGCTCCTGCTCACCAGGAAAGACCGCTTCTTCTTCCTCTTCCTCTTCTTCTTCTTCTTCTCCTGCATCTTCAGACTCATCTGAAGAGATCTCTTCGTCACTAGACAAAGTAAGCATATCACTTTCTGTTGTCTCACTTGAATGATATTCCTCTGTATCCTCTAAAACACTAAGAGGAATCTCCTCATAACTGCTCAAGCTGACAACGTCCCTTTCTGATATCTCCTCCAAATCACCTTTTTTCATGTCAAGACCGTATATGTCGGCGTGACAAGGCATCTCCCGGAGCTTTGGAAATATCCTGCGCCACTCTGCTACAAGGGTAGAGAATATGTGCGGTTCCATTAAACGTTGTGGATTCTCAAAAAGTACCTCTTTGAACTGCACAAGTTCTAGCTGCCGAAGCGGATCAACCGTACGCATCTGCGCAATGGAGAGACACAACCAAGTCTCACGCAGTCTAAGCACGGTGAGTCTTGGACAGTGGACCGCGAGATCTTGAATGTGTGCACCATTTATCTGAAACTTCAAATTAAGTTCAAGGAATTCCAGGTGCGGTAAGGCGCGCAAAAGGTCAGAAAATTTGGTGTTCATTGGATCTAATCGGCCCCCAAGACGCCTGTGCAGAACGCGGAGCATTTGTAAGAGCGGGCATCCATGCGCGATATCGAGAAGCGCTTCTATGTCATTGCATTCCCGGAAATAGACGTCGATAACCCGTAGTTCCTGGCATTTTCCAATTTTTGATATAACGTCACTGTTGATGATTCGTGGACCAGATACAAACTCTTGAATACTGAGGATTTGAAGCTCCTTGAAATCTGGAATTTGTTCCAGCCAGTGTTCATCTCCCATCCCAAGATACAACGCCTTCAGATTCGGCCATAGCTTGCTCTGTTTCCGTCTGGCCATCCTGATGGCTGCTGAGCATGACGAACCGGGAATGATCAGCACTAAAGCCTTGAGATTCTGTTGGCGTTGAAGACTGATTAAAAGCTCAGCTATCTCAATTGGAGTCATCTGATCTCTGCTTCTCTCCTCGAAATGGAAAAAATGCAAATTGCAGCTTCGGATCAAATGGAAGAGCAGCTTGTTATCTCGACTGCTCTCAGATCTATATATTGTGAGCGCTTTGAGCTTTGAGAACTTATCCTGCAATAGTCAGTCAAGATATCTTCAATGGCAGCTCCTTTTTCAGACGGACAGAACTTACAGCAGGAGTAATCGGTTCCGCAGACTTATTAGAACTAGCCATCAAAAGCTCACAGTAGAAATTATCAACAGCCAAATATTCAATAGTAGGAGAGAGAAGAAGGTCAGAAATAAGTGACCAATCCTCGTCGATCTCAAAGGGAATTGTGAGACTAACAAGGCCGCTACCTTGCGGTCGAAGGAGACGTTCAGCATCAAGGCGACGACGCAACGGCAAAAACTCCTCTGAACAAGCAAGCCTATTGGTGTTTGGTCGTGCAGCATCATCAATCGTGGGCGTCTTCGGAGCTAGCAGGAGATGCTTCACAAAGCCCATATTTTGGCTGAAGCGCTCTCGTGATGCTATCAAGAGATTGCCCAACCGTCCAATGTGGGGTGTACGGTACTGCATGTCATTCAAAGAGCCTTTATAGAGCTTTTTCAAGGCTATCACATTCCACAGGCTGTTCACACAGGCACAACTCACCAGGTCGCCCATACAAATGTTGTCGACGACATTTTCCACAATCTCTGGGAGAAGGAGGGGATTTGGTGTATTTTGAATGAGAGTAGCGGCCATTATGATGATAAACAAAACGTGGTCAACAATCTTCCACGTTCATCTAATTCAAGAACATGTTGATACTCAAGTGGTAGAATAAATCTCTGTGAATGCTATATAAGAGTAACAAAGAACTCTGCGTTTCAGAAGTGGGACAACAAAACATCATCTAAGCAAGCGCTTTCTTTAACCTAACCCAGGTTGGCCCGTAAGTTGGTAACGTCTATGCGATTAGTTAAATTATCAATGAGACGACCAATCAGAATACTGTAACTCGGTACAGAAATTTGAACAAGAGCCGCCGGGTGTCAGTCCGAGCATAGGATCGACTCAGCATCGGCTAGTATAATACTGCTCAGCGCTTAGCATTGATGGGTTCACCACCATATTTACTTCATGCGTTGACAGCGATCTAGCATCAGATCCCATTATCGTTTCATGCTAAAAAATATCTCAGTGTCCTCAAATATTAAAAGATCCTCATATACTGGATATAGACATTTGCTAACGTAGATACATACGGAGCCCAAAGGCAAATACCATCACGTCACATGTATTGAACGTCTCCTGCCCAATTTGGCTGATTTGGTCCGAGATGGCCACTTGAAGATGGATGGCTGTATTTCGGCTCCGCTTGACAGCAACGTAGGCCTCGAATCATCCGCGGAAATGATCGCAGATTGGTTCAAGTATGGCGGTCGTACTTTTGATCTTGGATGCTATGAAATTATGATAAGAGCCATCGTGAATGGGAGGGAGATTGGAGTGTACGGTGGATCGAGCATCAGCTGGGCCATGGGGAACAGGGAGACAATGCATGCAACTTCTGTCAGTCTCTACCAATCCCAGAAGAACCGAAAAAAACGGATTACTTTCCAGAAGAGCCTTCTGTGATTTCATTAAGTCAGTTGTTAGTGTCGGTGATCGGACAACGATCTATTGCCGAATAAGGGCGCTGGAGAAGACGGGCATAGAAACTTCACAGATTGGCTTATATATATGTATCACAAGAATAAACAGTGCTATTGATTACCTTAGCAGTCTTTGGTCCAACTATGCTTCCACCACGTTTGGATAAAAATCCTGGCAAGACTGAATCGGCTTCTTGCACTCTGGGTAAGGACAAGGATACTCGAACACAAAACCCTTGGACTTGATATCCTTCACACAATCCTCACACAGTGTATGACCACGTCCCAGAACTTTCCAGCTGTCGTTGAACGTTCGATGGCATAAGGCACACTTCAAAATATTGCGGCGCCTCTGTTCCTCGTTCTGTCGCTTTAGAAATTGAATTTGATTCTGAAACTGTTTCTCTTTCTTCTTCCATTCATCTCTCTCTAGTTTCAATCGTTTGTTCTCCTTTTTCAAGGCCTCATATGGTTCTGTGATTTCCTTCACAAATCGCTTCTATTGATTATTAGCCAGGTTTGAGAAAGATATAGGAACCACTTACAATTTTAGACCGAAAATCCACCACATCGGAATCTTCTCTTTTCCGTTTGCCTAGGGGTGGTGCCGAAATCGCATGCTCCATTGTATCTTGGTAATCTCGATAAGCATAATCAGGGCGAACCCTACGTCGACGTCGTGGGCGTGTATGATGATTCTCCTCATCGTCACTGATTTCGATGACTGGTGGAGGGGAACCCGCTGCTTCTCCAACCTCTTCACCCGACGGCACATGTTCGCTAGGTAACTGCCGCGGAGGTGAATCCTCGTCGAAGGGAATGGTGGATGGAGGGGATGTAGGAGATTCAAGTAATATATCGGTGGGAGCTTCTGTTGCGATCCCGTCTTCTACTCCATATATGAAACCTAGGGCATGCCAGTTATCAATCTGGGCTGGTGTTGGTGGTTGCTGTGTCTCCATTTCGATAGACGTGTTAGGTGTTGGTGAAAGAATTTCAGTATGATAGAGTGACCTTACGGTGGGAAGTCGGCACTCTTTATACCTGTTTGATCCCTTTCAGGGGGCCGAGCGATCCGACTCTCATAATTCACGGCACTCCGGTGCATGAAAGTGGAGTGGAGATGACCAGCCTATTATGCAAAACCTAGCCTCGTAAGTCCAATCAAGTGTGAAAGGCGACCACCAACCATGCTGAATCACAGCGTAGTATGACCCTAAAATAGAGCATTTGCCATTGACCAGTAGAGCTTCCGCTTGTCCCAATCGAGCATGGGGGTGTATCATGCGTAGCACTGCCAACAGCACCAACTCTTCGTTTCGCAGTCGGCAGTAGCTATCCTAAAACGGAAAATACTCACGGTAATTGGAGGACAGTTGAACAACCATCATCTCAAGCGCTAGGGTCAATTCCTCATGCTGTGTATATCTAATAGAGAGTTTTACCGGACGAGAAAAAGACTCTAAGGTGGAGTTCTTCGGGAGGACACCGCTGGAAAGCTCACTTCATGCAGGATTCGTAGTCCAGGAGCAACCCGACTTCATTCTGGATACCATTGTGGCTGATTCCGGCATCAATGATTGGGCATGTACAGTCCTGCATGTGCCTTGGAAGGCAGAATTTGCTTCCAAGTGGTCCTCGAATTCTTGAACGAGCAACCCCCATGCTCAAGTGCACTGAGAGAGCCTGCTAGCAAGCCACTTCCATCCGGTCTGCTTCGCCGTGTGCCTCCGTCTAGTCATGATTGGTGGTAGTATCGCAGACACGGTTTGGTTTTCGACCTCCTAGGATGTCAGACTAGTTGGTGGTCTGGGTATATAAAGGCCTCCGTCCGCACTCTCACTCTTGGACTGCTTTCTTTCCCATCCCCCATCATCGAAACCCAGTGGCATCAGAGCTATCGTACCGAGATTCACCACGAGAAGTTCGTGAACTATCCACCAAATCTATCAAGAAGTGCTACTGCAAGTGCTGTGGTATTTCAGAAAACATGGAAGCCAGTCAATTGTCAACTCAACACCCTAGTTCCAAGCCGTGTCGCCGCTCATCCCTGAAGCGCAAACAGGAGCTGAAACCAAGTTGTTCTGATCGTCAATCCGCCAATAAGATACGATACATCAATCCAGACATACCACTCCCCTCCATAGAGCCAGAAAGTTACCAGGAACCAGATCTTGTTTTCGATTCGGATCATTCAGACTGTAGCCTGCATTCAGCTCCTATATTCATCAACGATGGCGTAATCGTTGGGTTTTGGTACGCAGATCCGAGTGGAAATGGGAAACGACCGGTGTATTGCTTCATCAAAGAAAATTTCATTTTCGCATATCGAAAAGGAGACTCTTTCATTCTTACGACCGATGACGATTTCGATCTCCTGGATGATCTCGGTGACTGGCTGAATGAAGATGCCGAAGATGAGAACGCCATGAGTCCAGAAGCAGTGAAAGCGTGGGCAGAAATGATGTGGGAGAGCAGAGTCTATGCCGGAACCCAAGATATGACACTTGAATATTGACTTGTTTCAACCATAAGACAGGTAAGACATGCCAAGGCCAAATCTTTTTCCAGCATGTAGTACGCTGGAAGGTCAATCAGATAAAGCTCCGGAATAATAATACTCCGAAAGCTTTACATAACTGTAAGCTCCTGTAACTACCGCGTATAACATGATATTATTTGAAAACTTGAATTGACGGTGAAAACATGGTGGAACCAGCTGCCCTGTTATGGAATTAATGCTTCCGTAGATTACGCGTATTACTCAGATACGTTTTCCTAAACTCCCGCTTCACGTAAACGGAAAACTTGGCCCACAATAAAATCGAGCAGAAGCTGCTCGAGAATTCAGACGAATCAAAGGGAAATATCTATATGATACGTAACCATCCCAGGCCCTCCCTTCTGAAAAGAGATGAGTACATTAATAAAAGAGGAGTTGAGAATACAAACAAGACTCAATCTATAATGTATGGAATCCTATGATAGAAACCCGCCCGTCACCATACCCAAGAGCAAGGGTAGCTTCCTTAACTGCTGAAGCTGTAAATCGACGATGCTCGATAGGGAGCCACAGTATATTTTCACCCGCCAAGGCAATCCAGTTGTCTGACAGAGATACTTGAAAATTGAAATTATGTGAAGTCGGGCGACAATTATCACGGCGCTGTGGAATGCTGGCGGGTTTAATGGAAGTAAGTTCTTCTGCATGTAGAGCGGAGACCACTGAGTTGGAGAGAGCCACTGAGTTAACCGAATCTGAATGGCCCTTGAGCATCTGTAATCCAGAGCCAGTCTTAGTATCCCAGAGCTTGATGGTGTTGTCATAAGAGCCTGACGCCACCGTTTGGCCGTCATTTGAGAAGGCCACTGAATTAACCGAATCTGAGTGGCCCTTTAGCGTCTGTGATTCAGAGCCAGTCTTAGCATCCCAGAGCTTGATGGTGCTGTCACGAGAGCCTGACGCCATCATTTGACCATCATGAGAGAAGGCCACTGAATTAACTGAATCTGGATGACCCTTGAACGTCTGTAATTCAGAGCCAGTCTTTACATTCCAGAGCTTGATAGTGTTGTCACGAGAGCCTGACACTATTATTTGGCTGTCATGTGAGAAGGCTACTGAGTTAACCCAATCTGAATGGCCCTTGAATGTCTGTAATTCAGAGCTAGTCTTAGCATCCCAGAGCTTGATGGTGTTGTCATAAGAGCCTGACGCCACCATTTGACCATCATGGGAGAAGGCCACTGAATTAACCCAATTTAAATGGCCCTTGAGCGTCTGCAATTCAGAGCCAGTCATAGTATCCCAGAGCTTGATGGTGTTGTCACTAGAGCCTGACGCCACTGTTTGACCGTCATGGGAGAAGGCCACTGAATTAACCCATTTTGAATGGCCCTTGAATGTCTATAATTCAGAGCCAGTCTTTACATCCCAGAGCTTGATGGTCCTGTCATTAGAGCCTGATGCCACCGTTTGACCGCTATTTGAGAAGGCCACTGAATTAACCGAATCTGAATGACCCTCAAGGGTCTGTAGTACTGGGCTCCAATCATCCTCCACCTGTGGTAGCATGTGTATCTGTTTGGGCCTGCTGTCAAGAAAAATCTTTCTAATGGTACTTCGCATTGGTATAAATACCACGCCAGAACAGTAGAGTTGGAGTGGAGAAAGACTTGCCATGTAGGTGTTCTTTAGAATGAATCGTCTTGCATCATAGAGAAAGTCGGAAAATTCAGCATCCACGTCCCCCTATACACTTGATTTTAGCTATCACTCGAGTGTAAGTGCGCAGAAACTTACCCTAGCGCCTGACTGAAGTATATCTATCATTGCTACCGCCTCTGATATAACACCCATTAAGCTCAGCGCCTCCAGCCAATGGAGGAAGTGCTTTTTCACAAAATCAAAAGCCCTGGGCCTAGTGATATGACTGTGGCTATGTTCAAAATGATGTACCCAATACCGACAGCAGTACTGCAGATCTGTTGAGAGATGCTCGTTAATAACTTCATTATCGATATTTGTTCTCTGTATCCCGTTGCTTGACAGGCCACAGATATTTTGCTTCAGGCCAGTGTTCATGATACGGAGGCAATGCAAGAATATCTTCTGGTGTGTCTCTTTTTCATTCACGTGGAAGATGCTTGTTGTGTTAATGAGGAAGTCTCGGAATGATAGATGTAGGATTCGGACCGGTACGCCTGGATTGGTTGGTATATTCAAAACCGAGTGCAATGGATCCAAAAGCTCGGTGATATCCTCTACTGGTAGATGAAGAAGCCTTGCCAAGGAAATGATAGATAATGGAGTAGCAAGAAGGATGATAGTCCCGATTATATCCTGAAATTCTTTTAAAACCTCTGTTGGGTCATCCTCGTCACTGTGTATAAGTTGGTTCAAAACTGGTAGGTAGATTTTGTCCATCTGAGACGCGGATGTGGCTACTTGAGATGCAAGGAACTTCTGGAGTTGCCTTTTTGGATGCCTTCCTCCATGGATAAAGCGGTATGCTGTGGCCGCAAAGATGAATAATGGGGTAGACATCCGCACCAACTCATTGATAACCTCATCTCCGGGCCAGTCCGAGGCGAACGACCTCTCTTCCCGTATAGTTGAAAACTTGTCTTCCAGGTATAGGCGAATGTCACGTTCAATCACTGGTTTGGGAAGCTCATGGAGGACCAAGTCCTGGTGGTTATTGCTCTGCCTGAAGCCAAGACGGATTGGAAGTTCAGGCCGGCTAGTCAGAAATATTCGCAGACATACTGACTTCACTTCCTGCAGTCGAAACAAAAGTTGAAGTATGGTCCGGAGATCATTTTCCCGATCACATTCGTCTAGTGCATCAATAATAAGCATTACTGTTGCAGGTTGGTCCACCTTTAACCCGAGCAGCGGCTGGAGAAGAAGCGTATCGAATTGTTGGCTGAGCGATTTTGATGAGACATTGGGATTCTTCTCGATCGCTTTCAAGACAGCAGGTACCAGTGGTTGGTGTTTGGTGACCAACTGCTTTGTGATAGTAGAGATCAAATATTTTGCGTTACTTCGATCAGCTTCACCCCGCTTGAAAAAAAATGTGGCCCCAAGCTGCCCTTTCTCCTTAAAAGATTCCACAACGGTTCGAGCAATGGTAGACTTTCCTGTTCCCGCCATTCCATTCAACCAGAATATGCATTTCCCGTCTGATGACTCGGCCCACTCGAAAATTTGGGATAGAAGCTCGGTCCTGGTGCCAGGAAGACAAAAATCTTCATGCTGATCCGCGTACGAGTCAAACTCGGCTCCCTCCGCAATTGGCAGCTTGTCGAGGGGATCTGCACTTGTCAATAACATTCCCTAATTTACTAAGACCTTATAATCCTATCTACCTGTGAAGGAAGCATTAACTGTGCCGTAATTATTCCCAATCTGCATTCCATCGTTACTGCCATGAAATGATACCGAAGATGCCATGGTCATGGTCATAGATTGTCGTGCTACGATGAGTTGGAGGATGATGCCAGAGTTATGTTTAGAAAGGGGCGCGGAGTAGGCGGGGTAAGACGAATCAGTTATCATGTGACATCTCATTGGCTTTTTATTAGACAAATAGCAAGCGCCGGCAAACTCAAGCTATCTCAACATATCTCGGTGACTGGCTAGATGAAGATACCGAAGATCAGGACGCCATGAGTCCAGAAGCAGTGAAAGTGTGGGCAGAAATGATGTGGGAGAGCAGAGTCTATGCCGGAACCCAAGATATGATACTCGAATATTGACTTGTTTCAACCATAAGACAGGTAAGATAGTGGCTGCCAAGGTCAATATAGGACGTTAGGTAAAGCTCTGGATTAATGATACTCCAAAAGCTTTACAGCCTGATATCATTTGAAATAGATCGTCAAAAATGGTGGAACGAACTTCTAGCAGTTCTGGCGAGCAATATCCAGATGTTACCTATTAATAACGTCAATCCAACCTCTGATTCTTCTAGCCAGAAATCTTATCGCTGTTACAGCTTTATAACTGTGCGAATGCTCTGACGCTGTTTTGGGAGCGATGGTACGGTATGACTCGTGCCTGACCACCCGGTATGCATGATAGAATTCTTCGGATATATCACATGATTGCTCCAGTCCAAAGATTTCCTTTCTTGACTTAATACATGTACTAATCCTAATATGGTCTAGCTGCGGAAGCTGGTTAGGCTTATTTTGAGACAGCCTTGCCTTCTATTTATATTCAACACATCGCCCACTTATTTTGCCTTGTTCCTGCCACCTGAATTAATCAACAATGCCGGGAATACTTGACCTTCCAAACGAGATTTTGTCGTTGATTTGGAGGGATCTTCCTCTGCCAGCACTTATTTCTACACGTTTTTTTCTCGACATATATACGAGTCTTCCCTACCTTATCTCCACTATGCCTTCCAAAAGAAATCCACACCAGAACATACACGGGAAGAATTACGACGATTCTGGGAATTTATCAAACAGGATCCTTTAGTTCGCCCACAAGTTAGATCAATAATCGTCGATGATATGTGTGGTGACCTAAGTATTAGGACGCTACGAAGCCTGACAGTTCCACTTCTATCGTTCACACCTCGCTTACGAAAATTAGCGATACCAGGACATCACAAACTTCTGTCTTCGCTACATACCTCAATTCAGAAAGGAAAAGCTTCCCTGAAAAGCTTACAAGAACTGCGCTGCGTGGAGTGTGACCCAATAATATGGGAAATACTTGGTGACCTGCCGCAACTGTGCCTGCTGTCACTCACAAATCTACGACTTGACCAATCAATATTGGAATTACCTGCGGCTTCTCTTTCAATCCAGACGATCTTCTTTGAGGACTGTGATTTAGATTCAAAAGGTATATGTGCGGTAATCAAGAGCTGCAAGCGCCTCACCAGTTTCCAATACCTCTGTTCAAATCCCAAGCGCCTCCTTTTCGGCGATCCAGGGAAATCCTATCTGGATGTTGGAGACATTCATGAAGCTTTACTTCGCCATAAAAACAGCCTAGAAGAGCTTGTGATACAAGACTATGATGATGGGAAGCCTTACGACCAGATTCCGAAGTTTCGATCTTTCGAAGACTTTACTTCTCTTACGAGACTCGGCGTGGACTATTACAATATTGATTGGCATCTCCCATTTCCTCCAGCACTGGATTCAGTCGCAGTCAGACAATGCTAAATTGGAGAAAGTGAGTTTAGTGTTGTCCTTGGTTATCTAGGGAAGCATCCATACTTGAAAGCCATTTCTGTCGATCATGCGACGGCTTGTGTTTTTTCCAGCAATCTCGACTTGTGCGGAAAGATATCCGGCTTCATTTTCCGGCACGTTATCACCCTTCGTTTGGAGAGTTCTCAAACGTAGTTGCCCACCCTCTGCCGTGGATTGGTCCTTCCGAACATTTCCTCATTTAGTTATTCGCAATCAGATCCCAGTTGTGGTAGTCAGGTTGAAATGACATGACATGGATGTGGGGCTCAACACATATGTATATATATATGAGGGTTGACTCACTTTTACCTAACTAACAACAACAATATCATCGCCTTCATTCACAGCCTACTTCAACAGTGGTAAGCGACAAGGCAACCCGTGCGGGACGACAGCACAACGAGTGGATCGTGGTATGCCGTTATGCAGCGGGGAGCCCGTATGGGGCGAGTAGATCGTGGCAATACCAGTGTCCAACAGGGAGCCCACAGGGGGGAGCAACCCGCGAGCGATAAAACAACTGTGGCAACCCATAGGATTTACCACCCCCTGTGCGGTAGAAGCCCGCAGGGGCTGCCATAGTTTGGCCACCTCATAGGGGCTTGAAGCCCGCGGGGGAGAGCAACCCGTGAGCGATAAAATAATCGTGGCAACCCATAGGATTCACCACCCCCTATGCGGTGGAAGCCCACAGGGGGCAGCAACCCGCGAGCGATAACACAACCGTGGCAACCCATAGGATTTACCACCCCCTGCGCGGTGGAAGCCCGCGGGGGCTGCCATGGTTTGGCCACCTCACAGGGGCTTGAAACCCGCAGGGGAAAATAGCGATGGAAAACTCATGGTGTCCCACGCGGATTGTTATTCCGCAGGGGAATGATAGTCGCCACCGTACCAATGAAGAGTCTGGCGCCCATGAGGGATACTAGAGTATAGGGGCTTGCAACTCATTGAGAAACCACGAATTTCACCAGCAAAACCGTGGGGTCGCCGTCAGTGAATACATCAACGCTCGATCGAATATCAAAGGGCTAGAAACCATGGCCACAAAAACCATGGGTATCTTGTAGCGTTATACTATCAATAAGAGAGGTGGTCCACAAGTACGGCTGGTGTAACAACCAGCAGGCTTTAGGGTCTAACTATTCCAAGAAATGCGCCCAATACGTCTCAAGTTGAGTTTCAGCTACACCAGGTGAAGGCTTATATGTTCGAGGATGGTTTCAGCTCCCTCGGACTGCACCTTGACTACTGGAGCTATTCAGAGAAGGGAGATCTGGTACACATTGTATATCTATAAAGATGGCAGATGCTCCAGGATAGCAAAAGATAGGTTTCAGTACATTGACATTCCATACCCTACCTTGTATACTCAATTTTTGTGATCCCTCTTGAATCCCTATACGTATCCCTTGTAACGTTGTTACAGCTGGTCAAAGACGATGAAAAGGCTTGGAAAATCATGGGTAGCAAAAATCGTGGGTTGTGTTGGGAACTCCGTAAAACATAATGGAGCATGAAGTGGGTCCCGTTCAACCTTCATTAGCCACTACATTAAGATAGAACTCCTTAGATATCTTTCTGCAAACCCCCCCGCCTAAACAGACTAGTTCTGTTGAAGTAGGTTGTGAACGAGATGTGTTGTTGTTCTTCTCATTGTCTGACTAGGTAAATGCAGGGCCATCTACATATATATATATATCCACGGCCCCACATTTCTTGCCGTTTCATCTCAACCACGTGATATTCAACAAGTTCCGTGGGCGCTTAATGCACGGTTGTTCCTTCCATAAGGATGATTGACAATGCTGTGAGACGCTATTCTAGCTCTAAAAATACTAGTCTCAAGCGAGATAAGTTCCATGACACATATTGGCTCTTCCTTGCATGCCTAACAATATTCAATGATATGGTTGACTCGTGTTGATTTGTGTGTACTACGTAGTAGTATCAGCATTTGTGGCAGCGACGCTGATTCGCGCGTCCGCAACGCGTCCCCTCGATCGGGTTTAGCGTTCCCGTCGACGCTAAAAACGGTGTCTTTCCGGTTTAGCGTGCCTATCCGGGTCTAGCGCCGGTGTTGGGTGGGTCTTGAGAAGTATATAAACCGCGAGTGCGTCGCTCGACGACGACGGCCGTCCTCCTTTCGCAATTTCCCTTTCACTCGAACAAACCCAACAAGGACGGTGCCTAGCCGGCAGTTAGCGCATGACCAGCGCCGCCAGCTGAAAAATGAGTGTCTCACCCGGCCCTACTACATACAGCAATGTGCTCTGGTCAACGGAGCCGATTGCTCGACTGCCCACCGGTTAGGATTTCTTCTGCAGCGTCGGGGGCTGATGGTGAAGCACCTGCAGGGGCGATGAGAAGTGAATGCAACCCAAGCCGTTGCAATCCTAGGCGGCAATTGGCAATCGGCGATACTTCACGATTCCGCCACCAACCAGTCCGAGGTAAACGACTAAGGATGTGACGGTCAGTAATGAGGTTATTCGCAGAGTTCGGTTTACGTAGTCACATGCTAGGGTTACGTAGGGGGGTTCGTGATTCTGTCACGTGATCACGACAATACATCTTGTTTGCAGATAGCCTCACATTCCTAGCTTTTTCTTTCTTTCTCCATGTTTGGTATTCTTGTACTTAGCTTCCAATATGACTATTGAATGAGCCCTAACCAAAATAGGTAATTGGTTTTAGTCCGGATACAATAAGGGTTCGGGTTAGGGTTAATTTTTTACTAACAAATTCGGACGCCGGATACAATTAGCATTATACCCCAAATACAATTAGGATTTTATGGCTGATCCGCGTGAAACTTGCATCATAGATTTTTCCGCCATTGCTTTCCATACGCTGATAATTTCACCACCAGTCACCATGTAGAATATCGCGTAGGAGTGCAGCAAAATTGATACGTTATGTGGTGATGTTTTTGTTAGGGTATATTGGGAGCTAGGTTAAGTAGTCAAAATAAGATATGGTCCGTGCCCAGTCAAATAGGGGTAGCCGCGGTAGCATTTTTGACTACAATCAACTGATTCTTAAATCTATTTCTATTTATTTTATCCATTTAACTTTCGTATCTGTCATATATCTATAATATATCTTACCATGACT